GGCTCAGCTCAAAAAAAAAAATTCTGGCCTGAGCCAGAATAAGCCGAGCCATAAAAATTTCAGCTCAAGCTAAAGTGAGCTGAGCCATGATTTTCATGGCTCGAGCCAAGCCAGGCTCGAGCTTTATCTTCAGAAAAACGTTTCACAACGTTTTTTTATTAAAGAATTAAAAAAATGTTGCGAAACATTTTTTTCTAAAATAATATTGTGAATAAAATGTTTTCGCAACGTTTTTTTATTAAAGAACTTAAAAAAATGTTGCAAAACGTTTTTTTCTAATATAATATTGTGAAAAAATGTTTTCGCAATGTTTTTTTACTAAAGAATTTAAAAAAACGTTGCGAAAACGTTTTTTTCTAAAATAATATAGTGAAAAAAATGTTTTCGCAACGTTTTTTACTAAAGAATTAAAAAAAATGTTGTGAAACGTTTTTTTAATATAATATTATACAAAAAACGTTTTCGCAACGTTTTTTGTATGATAACTCAAGCCAGCTCGAGCTTTTTGAGCCGAGCCTATCACTGGCTCGAACTCATTTCAAGCTGGCTCGCGAGCCACTGAGCCAATTTAATCGTGACTCAGCTCGGCTCAGATTGAAAAGCTCGAGCCAGCTCGTGAGCCAGCTCGGCTCATGCGGAGCTTTAGGTGCGGTAAATACATTATTTCTATTTTATTTATTCTTTTTTTTTTAGATAAAACAGAGTGTAAAATTTAAAATTTAGCAATTTTGATTTAGGAATTTATTTTCTGTAGGTTTTTAATAGACTTTTTTTTAATCATTATTTTAATAAAAAAAGCAAGACAATTTAGATAAAAAAAAATTTTATTTATATTTTGTTATTTTTTTTCTTTTTTTTTAGAAAATTAGCTCTTCTAATTTTTAAATATTTTGAATTTTGCATGTAGATTTTTTCTTTAAGTCTTTATATTAATAAAATGTTTATTAATTAACATTTTGGTTCATCCTTTCTTTTTTGGGCTTTTTATAGGAATTTAGCTTTAAACTTTGAAGAAACTAAATATTTTGGTACTAAGTTATTATGTTAATAACTTCTTATTTTTATAAAAAATTCAATTATTTGTTTTCTATTTCATGAATTTAAAATATATTTAAATATATGTAATACAAATAGATTAAAACTGCATAATACAAATATAAATTTGCTAATATATATACAAATTTATATTCAAAATAGCTCATAATTAAAATATATTTAATATAACTACATATAAAAAAGTGGCTTATATACAGACTTATTTGGCATAAATTTAAATATAAAAATGGTATAAATTTATATATAAAAATAGATTAAAGCTGAACTACAACTTGAGTAAGCTTAAAATAAATACAATACGCCAAATGGGCTCACTATATAATGCTAATTTATGGATATAAATTTGGTATAAATTAATGCAAAAACTTTTTATTGGGATAGTTTAAAATAAATAATATTATATATAAAGTTAACTTATTATATTTTCTTTTTGAATTTATACTATTGTATGGTCCGATGCGAAAAGATTTGTACCTCACCAAAAAAGGGATGGATTTACGCCAATAAAAATATCGTACGACTTAAATAAGGTGGGCTGATATTCAAGAATTTGTTAGAACATATCCAAACACACATTCTCTCAAAAATTTTTTTCCATACCATGTATTCTCATTTCCTGAAACGAAATGGTGCACCATTAACAGATAACGAAAAATCAATGATAATTAACATTCACAACTATCTTTTGGGGGATAGCTCTACAAGTAATGATCATCATAAGCTAACATTACGCAAGCATATTGCTGAGATATTGGGTGTAGCTGAGGGTACAGTTGGAAGTGTGGTGTCGGACTGGTACAACCGCAGTGATGATACTTTTACACCACATAAAGTCCTCGGAAGACCTAAATTTCAACCCGATGAAAATGTTTCAGAACTTTTGCGTACAAAAATTTTGGATGCCAACAAAAAGGCTGAGCAACTTTCCACAGTTATCCTACGACAGTATCTTCTAGAACAAGGATATAATTTTTCTAAATGGAAGCTTCTTCGAGTATTACATCGCTTGGGTTATTATTTTGGCCAGGGAGAACGTAGAAACATTCTCCATGAGTCACCAAATAATGTTGCATACCGTTGCCGTTATCTTCGATTTCGTTTTGCTAATTTAGAAGGAAAAAATGATGTTCCACGTCGTCCAGAAGTCTTTCTTGATGAGTCTTACTGTCATTTACATCATACTTCACGCAATACATGGGTTCCCCATCAAGGTGTTGTTTTAGCACCTGGACATGGTCCATTAGTAGTAATTTTTGGAGCAATTATTGTATTCCGAAATGGATCTTCCAACAAACTACATGGTGAACTTGTTCCCAACTCTGTTCACATTTGGGACCCAACAATTAAACCTCCTGGAAACCGGGGACGAAAAAGAAACAATGCTGATGAATGGGATAACATTCCCGATGTTGTCAAAGATGCAAATATTATGCCAAATCAAGTAGATTATCATGGAAATTTTAATGCAGAAATTTTTGAAGACCTTTTTTCAACTCTTTGTAAAGCACTTTATGAAAAATATGGACCTGTAAATATTCATATGGATGGAGCAAGTTATCATAAACGGCGGGTTGAAAATATTCCAACTTCAAATACAAAAAAGCAGGAAATAATTGATTGGCTAAATGCTCACAATATTGTTTTTTCTGATGAATTAAGAAGACCAGAACTTTTGGAGCTGGTTCAAATGAACAAAGAAAAGGTGACATTTGCTTGTGTTAAAATTGCAAAACAGTATGAACATGAAGTTTCATTTACCCCTCCATATCATTGTGAACTTCAGCCAATTGAAGGTATTTGGTCAGTTGTGAAGGGTGAAGTTGCACATTCAGGCCCACATCCAAACCTTTTATCTGTTCGAAATACACTTTTAAATGCTTTTAAAAAAAAAATTACATCACAGGTAATCATTGGGTTCTGGAGAAGAGCACTTAAAAATGCTAAGGAATACTTAGAATTTGACGATAACGCACAATTAATGGATGAAGATTTTGACGAATATGATAATTCTGATGAAGATTGCGTTATTTAATCTAATATTCATATTTTGATTTTCCCAACATGTTATTGATATAATTAAATAAATAAAAAAAATTTACATAATAAAAAATTTTTTTTTCGGTTCTCTGTTTAAGGTACAAATCTTTTTGCACCGGACCATATCATAGTAAAAAATAATCTTAAAATTTGAAGTAAAGATTTTTATTATAATATATAAGAATAAACTAACCAACCAAATAAAATAATTTTAAGAAAGGAATTTGCTAAACCTTAACTTATATGATTAAGGATGAGTCCGCAAATGATTTTCAAATTCTGCAATATTGCAGATTTTGGAGTTGAATTGCGGTTAGTAGTCTGCAATTATGCAATTCTAATTGCTGCCCATAACTGTCAGTTTTGTATATTTATAAAAATGCCAGAACTATGAGTTCTGGCATTTTCTTTTGATTTTTTTTAATTTTTATTATATAAAAATGCCAGAACTATGGGTTCTGGCATTTTTTTTAATTATTTTTTACATAAAACGCTGGGACAATAAGTTCCAGCATTTTTTTTAAATTTTTTTTATATAAAAATACCAGAACTACGAGTCTCAACATTTTTATAAATTTTTTATATAAAAATGCTGGAACTATAGGTTCTGGCATTTTTTTTTGACTTTTTTTTTATTAAAAATACCAGAACTATTAGTTCTGGCATTTCAATTTTTATTTTTATTTATATAAAAATGCCAGAACTATTGATTTTAGTGTTTTTTTTTACTTTTTATAAAAATGCCGGAATTATTATTTCTGGCATTTTTTTAATTTTTTTTTATTAAAATTGCCAGAACTATTAGTTTTGGCATTTTTTTTGCAGTTATAATAAGAGAAAATGCTGTTTCTGGCAGTTTTCCCAATTACTGATCCATTTTTTTCTAAAAAATAAAATCATTTTTTTTTTAAATTTTGTTAATGAAAAATGTAAGAGGAAATATATTTTTTAGTAGTTAAATTAAAAAATTATATTTCATTAAAAAAACAATTAGTTTTTTTTGCGAACATTCCGCAAATCTGCAATTATTCGCAATCCCGCAAATATTCCGCAATTGAATTGCGGTAACTTGGATATTTGCGAATTTGCAGAATATTTGCGGGATTGCAGATAATTGCAGATTTGCAGATCTGCAGATTTTAGATTTAATGTTCTGCAATACCATAAATCGCAATTATTCTGCAATTACATATTTGTGGCACCATCCTTATATATGATGGCAGTTCCTTTTTTGCTACTTAGTGATATTATTTAAACTACCAGTATTTTCTTTACTATTTACCAATATATTGTTATTTTAAACTTTGGATTTTTTACATTTCTTTCCAAATCTTATAGTTTCAAATGCATATCCTATTCTTCCTCAAAAACTCACTTAAAACAATTCCTATTTTCTTCAAAAAATGAATTGGATGAACTGGATGATGTATTCAGCTGATCAAATTTGACTTAAAGTCTTTAGGCAATTGTATAAATTTGGATCATTTTATTTAGAGAGCTTCAATAGAAGTTTTGATCAAAGTGAATTCATATAAAATGCCAAAATCATTATGGTGGGCTTTTTTGATATTATTAAGTCTTGTGATCACATTATTAACTATCAATAAAATTCTCTGCACCTTAGAGGTTTAGCATTCTGATCTCCGCAGTGGATTCATCACTAATTTCTGATACACATGAGAAAAGTTCATTGGCTAATTTAGTATTAATTTCTGCGGTATGATTTCATACTAAGTGTAGAATTTATTGAAAAAAAAAATAAATCTAATTCGCCAAGTCACGTTACCGAAATTTTTTTTTGGTGGATACCCTAATATTAATAGTAAAAATTTCTAGCGGGTGACCTTTATAAATCACAAAATCAAATTCATAATAAAAAAGTTTAAAAATGGGTGGAGCAAATTTAGAACTCTTTAAGGTATATAATTAAGCAAAAATTATTTATTCTCAAGTTTAAAACTAATCTCTTTTTTTCTTTTATCAAAGTTTAGTGTCTATATCTTTTTCCCAATAGCTACGATGTATTATTTTGGTGCTCCTGAATTTTATGATAGCCATGTAAAACAGGTAATAACTTTTTGTAATTATTCATTTTCGCATTCTTTCAATTTAATTTATCGGTTTATCTCTTTTTTTTTTAATTTTACGAAGATCAAATTCTGGCCAGAAAAAACAAATGTAATATATTTTATATTCTTGAATTTATTTATACTTTGTCATGAAAATAATTTTATTTTTTTTATCTAGCGTCCCCCTACTACTCGAGATGAGATTTTAATTGAAATAGAAAAATTAAAGGCAAAGAAAAAGATACGTGAAACTCGTGTAGAAAATTCAAACATCGTGTAGTAACTGTACGATTAATGTAAATATTTTAATGCAACGCGTACTAAAATATAAATACAAGAATTATCCTTATTTCCCGATTATTTCCTAACATCAATTATAGTTAAAAGATGTGGTGTATTGGGCATTTGTACATATCCTTTCATTCCCCCACTACTTTCATTTCTTCCTCCTGAAGCATTTTGATCATCATACTTTACTGTTAAACGCCATCGATTTATATCATATACCCCAGATCTATTAAAACATGCTTTAACCACGAACGTTTGTTCTTCATTAGCTGATAATGTAGCATATTTAAGTGTGGATCCCATCCAATGAAATATCATCGGTGTTATAACTTTGTGAAATGCATTGCTAAGGGAGAGAAAGCCTATATTAATAAATTTTTATTTAGCATTCGGTTGATACTCTTTATTACCTTCTGTTTGTTTCATGTTGATCAGGTGAAATCATCTCTAGTGTAAATCCAATTTTTTTATTCCAAGAACAATTTTTTATAGATATTGTAATAGGAACAATGCAAAAACTATCAAAAGAATAAATATTAAATAAAATTAGATTTAAAATTTTTAAGTTATAAATTATTTACCTTTGAAGTTCAAAATCGTGCTCATATATGTCCATGCATTGTATAACAAGCTTCAAAGGACTATCATCCTTAAAATTCTTATTTTTAGACAAACTGTTTAAAAGTAAAGCTCGCTCTCTGATAGTTTGTTCAAATAATGCTCTATTAGGAGCTGAGTATATACTTAAACCTTGAAAGGGATTTTGTTGAACTCCAAGGTTTATACCAACAATGTAATGATGTCCTTGGCGTTGTAATGGGGTCGAAGATACGTCTGAGGATACAGAAGATATGTTCCAATATAATGCTAAGTCGACATCGTTTGTATTATATAGTGTGAAAATATTATGATACTTATTTGAGGATATGAAGGGGAACTGATTTAATAAAGTGTTAGATCTCCATTGAACACGCGAATTCATTGAAAATCCTTCTAACGGTTTTGCCGAATTATTAATCGTACGGTCTCTCTGTTAAATGATTTTTTTTTGTTATAAAAAATTTTAAAAGAAAAATTATTGATTGATTAAATACTTACAAAGGGAATATTTGTTATAGTAAGATTTATTGGAGATGGCTCTGATTGTAAGTTCTTTTCGCCTATTAATAATCGTTCTAATGCATTAGACGTGAATGCTTCTGGAGTTATATCAGTTGTATCGTTACTTTCTGAGTTAGTCTCATTAACATTATCATTTGTGGAATGCTTTTCAATTCTATTTATTCTATAATAAATAAATATAGTCTGCCGTGGAATTATTGAAGATTTAGAATCCGCATCTTCGCTATAAATATTATATTGTATTAATTTATAATTCATAAATAAAACAAACCATATTGATTAATACCTTGATTCGTTATTTATGGGTGATATTATCCAAGAAGGGCTAATTGAAGAAAGCTGAACCAACTGAAATTTCTCATCACTTTGCAAATTTTCGATCTTTATTCATATTTATATAAAGTGAATCAATAGAAATTGTGGAAGACATGAAATAATAAACAATAAATTACCTCTACACCCAAAATAAATTCGTTTAAACCTCGAGTGCTTGGTCTGGTAAAAGCATTAATTTTAAGCGAAGGTAAAACTTGTGTTGTTTTAAAATAACGAAGGCTTCTATATTTCATAGCCATATTATTGTCCTAGAATTACGAAATAAATGTTGAAATAAATAAAATTTGCAATAATAAATCATAATATTAAAAGCATTTCCAATCAGGCTATACATAAGTGAAGTTCTGTGTAAAATCTAAAACCTTTTTATAGAATTTTTTTACAAATAGTAATTTCCTTACTTTAACCATAACCCTTATTATATTAATTCATAATTCAAAATATTTAAACACATATAATACCTCTGATTCATAAGTAAATAAAAATCGGAACATATGTTTTCCAATGCGGTCTCCACGAATCCAAATTGGTATTAAGGTTGTTTTACCAGGTGCAAGTGAAAACGATGTTGAATCTGGATTTATACATTCTTTTTGTGGTAATGGAATATTCTTTATGTTGGAATTAAAAATCGAATTTTTTATTTTTAATTTCTCGGTTTTCAGCGAACCATTATCTGAAAAATAACATACATCGTTAATCTTATATGAAACTATTAGAAAACTTTAACTACTTAAAAATTTACCATAAATTTTTTGTTCCAACATCTCAGCATCACCAATACAAAAAAAGCTGGGATGGCTCATTTTCACTCGTAGGTCAGTAAGGCCTTTTTGTCCTTTGTTGTTTATTTCCAATACAACCTGAGTTACTTCTCCAGAAAATAATAATTCTGGAAAAGAATGAAAAGCAACTTCAAGCAATGGCATTGGAGATGTCACCATTAGGTCTAATGATCGATCTGTAGCGTAAACTACACTCATACGTTGCTCTTTTGTGTCGTTTAAGCGTTTTCCGTGTCTCAAGAACTTTTTTATTCCATGAACAAGAGAATTTAGAGTATATTGAAGTCCAAGGACTTTAAGTGTACCTTGTTTCTTAGGTAATACGCGTAAAGATATCTAAAGAATTAAATAAAAAATATATTCTATAATTCTTCAAAATGTTTATTAATAACAAATTCGCACTGTTTACCGTTTTCTCTTCCAACCCTTGTAAGCACACTTCTGGAAGGATTTCCAAGTCAAATGCTTCAAATTTAATAAACTTTATATCTGCATTATCTATATTCTCATTTTTCTGTGACAGTTCTTTGTTATTTACTTCATATGGACTACTGGAATCCTCTAAAGGAATATATTCACATTCTAAAATCAAATCATTGATATTTATTTGAATGTGCATTGGGTTGTGAACATTGAGTTGGACAAAAAACGGTTCTAAATTTTCAATAATATAAAGAATAGTTAAGATTATTAAACGCCATGTTTTAAGGAAGAAATTTCATACATACCTCCTACAGCACAGACGGTTCTATGTAAATCACTACCTAACAGAGATGGCTTTTTTCTTGGTTTTCCATAAATATCTAATCCAGTGAAACCCTCTTCTAGAAATTCTTTTTCCATTATCCCCCAAATTTCGTCATAATCGTTAGATTGGTGGTTGGATAACACAACCTTAACAGAAGAACTATCAATTATCGGAATGGGTAGTTCTTGTGGTTTTAAATTGAAATCTTTATCATTCTTTAAGGAATATTGCTTTGAAAGGAAAAAAAAAATTAACCGTTATCAGAATATATAGAAATTCACATTAAGAGTCGGCATTACCTTATAAATAAATAAGAATTCTTTCAAATATGCACTCTGTTGTGTAGCTGGCTGACGACTTGCTCTTAATAACTTCAAGAAAAACTTAAGAGACGTATCAAGGTCACCTAAATGAAATGATTGTCGACCGAGAGTGAAATGAATATGATCTTCAACTAATGACCAAGAATGATTTTCAAAAACTTTTGAAGCGGCGAGATAACACCTATACGCATGCTCACGCTGAAGAATATTAAGGTAAGAGTAAATAAATATAAACGAAATTCGTTGTAAGATTCTAATAAAACGATTCGTCATATTCATCCTTAACCTGGTTACATTTCCCATATCTATGACCAGCCATAATCATATGAAATGCGTATTTTCGAATCATTGGTCTGGGACATCTCAGAAAAGCGAGCGCAGCTTGCTCCAAAAAAAATGCACTACTCAAATCAGAGTCCTAATAAAAACGTAAACATACATTTAATAAATAAATAAATTTTATCTATCTATTTTGTTTTAAATTAACCTACATCACTGGTCATTCTAACTAATGCTGCTGGCGCATCTTTATACAAATTCCTAAATTTTAACATTTCATAATATAACAAAGTTGCTTTTGTTGCATAAAATGGTGCTTTAGCACGGTTAAGAAAGGCATTTACAGATTGCTCAAAATAATGATCGATATCTTTTCCAATATTTGTTGAGGCCATCAGAAGACAGATACCAATCATTTCCTTTATTATAATCATAAATAATAATCAATTAATGTTGCAAATATCATATTTATTAAATAAATGCTTACTTGAGCACCAGCATAAAACTTCCATGCTTTATCTGCCGAAAAATCTTTTTTAACCGTATCATACACGGAATGCGCGAATTTATAATCTCGTAACATAAATGCATAATCCGCTAATTTACGCATTTGAGCTTCAGGCGTATTATATGCATATATTGGAGTAACCAGATTATTATTATGAGGATTAGATACGTAAGGAGATTGTGCTGATTGTGAATTCATTGTTATTGATTTTGACCCTGTACTAAAATAACGTCTACCGGCACTAAAAAGACGACCAGTAATTCCGCGTCGTGATGATGCCACCTATAAGTAGTATTACTTGTGAATTTACTATTGTGGAAAACCCTTAAAATTAAAAAAATATTTTATTATGTAAAATCCACCTGTTCATTCCACTGTCGAATATTTCTTTCCATATAAGGTATTAAACTTTTCCTGACTAATTCACCTATAAAAGTATGAATGCCAACAATGTCCTCCTCACTTAAGTATTGACCATATATAACAGGTGGTGGTGCAATATTTCCTACAAGATTAAAATCAATAGCATTTTGTAGATCAGCTCCAAGGTTCTCTTTACTGAAAATCATTTCCTCGTTAAAAGATGATGTCGGAGAACTTAAGGTTGACATGGTAGGAGATAATGGAAGAGAATAACTTGAAAGTGAAGTTAATGAACTCTGACGAGAGTGATGTTCAGAAGAAGTTGATTGCGAAGAAGATGGAGTAGAAAGAAGAGCCTGAAGGATTTTATTTTCATTGATACAAGATGTCCATATATCTGTCACAAAATTACTAGATTTAATAGGGGAAGTTGGCACAGAAAAAGGATCATTCTTCTCGGATGGAACCGTTAAAGATATAGAATTTAGTTTCAATAAATGACAATCAAGCTTATAAGTTCGTTTCATTTTTTCAAAAACTTCCTCAGAGCTAATTTAATAGTAAATACATTAAAATAAACTTAGTTAGTAAATTAAAATTCTAAAAAAAATGGAAATAGAAAATGAAATGAAATCAAAATACACACTGCTCCAGGGACACTTTGTGATTATCGTGTAAAAGTACATAATATTTTAGAATATTCGGATCCATAAAACCTTTTTCAAAAATAGGTGCTGGCGGCGTTGTATTGCTAAGTTGATGCAAAGTGTTATCGATATCAGGGTCGGATGAACTTACTGCGATTATGCCTAAAGTTTGTCATAGCACAAAAATGTGTTAAGGCCTAATATTCTAATGATTGAAGTTCAATATATTATTTATTCTAGGTATTAAAGGATACACGCAACAGGATGATCGAAGGTGTCATGCTCAGATACGCCAATAAATGCAAAAAATAGTCGCCGATACTCAGAATACCATGGTGTTATATCATCCTGATTTACTAATAATATTTACCAACAGAATAAGTCAAAAAATTTAGAATAATTTAAATATCAATAATCAATAATAAAATTTCATTGCAATAATCTAAAATTAAAATTATGGAAATACCTGCCAAATACTTTTCGTTTACATCTGATTTCTTAGAAATCGGTGGTAAATCATCTAAAATGGTAGGTTTACCGATCGATTTTACTTTTTCGGCAATAATCTGAGAAGTAAGTCGAACATCGGGTTGCTCTAGATTCATCAAATGAGCAAAACGAACCGTAAAGTTCTCTACTGGGTTCTTTAAACCTTGTGAATCTTCAACATTGACTAATTAAATGGAAAAAATAAATGAAAAGATAGCTTAAGTGAAAGTGATTATTGAATAAAAGAAGGTAAAACTTCTCAAAGTACCTAATCTATGTCGAATTTTAGTTATCATACTTGTACTTTACTGTAAGGCGCCAAACTCATTCTATTACGAACCTCTTCCTTCAATTAGATCCCCAAAAGGTTTAATTAGAGAAAGGAAATCAGGAAAATTGTTAACTTGACAAACTTGATCTGCATCTTGTGAAGATATAACGGCAATCCTTGGACTTAAAACTCGCGTAACGAAATCCTTGGGAGCTTGAGAATTAGATTGTTGTATAGTCGGGGTTGCCGAGCGAGATAGAGTTGAGCCAGAATTCGAACGACTCAGGGATTCCATCGGCTTTAATTTACGTTCAATTTACCTTTCTTTTTGTGAACTCTGATTATCTTATGATGACGATGATCATCATCATCTGGTGGTATCCAATTTATGATGAATATCCCTTTATAATAGAATTTCTAGTCACAATAATTTCTATTCTTATCAAGATCTTGTGACAAGCTCCTTTATAGTATAAGAAGAAACAATTTGAGATAATTGTAAAAATGCTTAATTCTTGTATTTTTTTGTTATTGATGTATTCTTATTTTAGAAGAGCCGATTTATCGCTTAATTTGAATATTCCAAGTCGGTCAATGCCAAAATATGAACTGGTTTACGAGTAGCACTAGAACTATTGCCGCAGTCTTCTGCTTACATAATCTCCGACAATCGCCGATCATATTTGCATTTTTGTGATCAATTTACGCACATTGTTGTCAATGCATTCTGCACACCCACAAAAAAACTTTTTTCTTTCCAGACTTAAAATTATTGTATACTTTACCGATTTTTATTACTTTTTGAATTCAAAATCGTTAGTTTTTTCCCTTTTAGGTTTAGACTTAATGAACTTGAAAATCATTTCGCCTTGCAAAAAAAGCACTTTTGTTTTTTCTAAAATAGTAAGTGTAGGATATACAAATACTAAATACAAAATATTTATTTTACAAATGTAAAAATTTCAATATTCCCACAACCTTCGTTTAGTAACTATAAAGAGAGACGAAATAAACTGTTTAGAGTACGTTAAACCTTTCTGTATATCTATTATCTTCTCGTAATTCGGATATCTATCCAATTTTGTTTTTCGTTGATCTTGCTCCTAGTTCAACTTTCTTTTGTATAACTTAGAGCGAAAGGTGAGGAGTTTACTTACATATGTATACAATTTTGAATAAAATATTATCTCTTTTTCAGACATAATTTAAGAACTGACTTATACGCCTTTACTTTTTAGGTTATGTCGGAAATACAAACAAATTCTCCAATTGTTCAGGAGAAGTGTTTTATTCATGAACAGGACACGACAATAGTTCCACTTAGCAAGGAAGACGTTTTGGTACCGGGTATTGCTGACAAACATCCGAGGGATATGCCGGAAATGGCATTTGTTATCGCTTTTTGCATCCAATACAACGAAGCGGTGGGAAACCTCAACTTCCTCCCAGAGGTAATATCTTATTCAAATGATGAACAGGACTTTTTTTTTAAGTTTCAATGAACGTGACTTCAACATGTCTGTGCTTTTTTAATAGGAGCTAGAAGATGCAATTGTGCGCCGCGAGCCTGTCGATCTAGTGGAGCGTATTCATCGCTACTTTTTACGGAACGTTTTAAACTTTCCAAAGATAATCGAGTAAGTGTTAGATAATTATTTGCTTAAATGTCTTTACATTTGCTAAATAGTTTTAAATAACAATATAGCAAGCGATATTGGATCAGAAAATTGCGCGAGCACTTGCACGAAAGAATTGAGAAGAAAGAATTCATTTTCTCTTACAATCCTTTTGATAGGATTAAAAAAAATAAGTACCATGAGCTCTCGAATTTTGAGAAGGTAAGTTATGGAGTTAACTCACTTTGTATTAAATTTTACATTATGCTTCATCTCTGTTTTAATTTCAGGTTATGATTTTGAAGGACCTGGTGATGTGGCAGTTTAAGGGATCTGAAAAGATCAAAGCTATGTGGCAGTTTAAAGAATCTGAAAAGGCTCAGACTCTCCGCCCAGTTGAGATAGAAGTTCTAGGTGTCGACAGCAGGGAGTCGACCTACTTCTATTTAGGTGGTAAGTATCTTTGGCCAATGTTAAATTTTCACATAACGTCCTATTCTAGCATTGTATTTCTCCATTTACAGTTGGAGCACGAATATATAGAGAGATCCCATCTGCTGATGATACTCAGCAATGCGTTTGGGAGGCACTAACAACAACATTACAAGATCTTAAGGAACTAGTTTCTGATCGAGTTGAAATAGACCCTGATCGATCCGAGGAGGATCGCCTCTTGTACAAAAGAATTTCCAAGGAGTTGATCCCAGATGTAGAAGTAGGGTTGATTTTAATTTCTTATCAAAAAAAACAAAATTATTTTTTACTAATTAAATTAAGTTTTGTCGGTTTTTTTATTTATAGTATCAGTTTGAAATCAAAAGAGCAGCCGAAGAAGCGGCTAGAAGAAAGAAGCGCGGCAAAAAGCCTGCGAAAAATAAGGTTCGATACAACAAATCACCGAGAAAGGTGCTTTCGGTTGAAGAAACTGACGATGAAAATAATATTCAAGCTGACGTTACTGCGTCTGATGTTGGCCCAGCGCTTTCGGTTTCGATGTGGTCAGTGACGCATCCTTCCACAAATTTGCAGCCGGTACAGATGGCTCATGATGTCAGACGCTTTTCTGCTAATCAAATGGCGAATTCGGATTTAAACGGCGTAACTACTTCCACAACAACCGTAAATTCCGCCTCTCAATATGATGATGATGATGATGATGATGCTTCCACAACCACTTCATCGAGCATCCATGAAAAAAATCAATTGATTTATCAAAGCAGCTTTACGGAAAGACATACTGAGACCAGCACACCAAAAAATGTGATCTTTCATAAACGTCGAATGGAAGAAGAAACTTCTGATGATAATGACTCAAATGATTCTGATTATTATTTGGATTCTAACAAGCGCGTAAAGTTCGGACTTAATAACGATGATGTTATGATTCATAAATCTTATTACGATGATACCACCAAACGATCCAACCATGTGAAGGGAAAAGGAGTTCTTCGTAATGAACTGCATGGTAATTTAGAATTTGAGAATGCCGACATTGTTAATAAGGATGCGTCTAAGAATAAGGGCAAAAATGTCCTCCGTGATGAAGGACCAAGTCAAATAGTTGGTAGTTACATGAATCATTGCTACAACACCGCCAATGTCACCAATTTATCAGAAGTGGTTGACCGGGAAATTTTCAGGCCGGGACCAGAAGAACTTGATAAATTGGAGTGGTCCCTAAACCACGTGTTCTTCGAGGAGTTAGAAATCTTCGGCGAAGACAGTGATTCTGAGCTGTCTGAATGTTGTGATGCTTGTATAATGGAAGTTGATCAACTCTTAGCGCATTGATTTCCTCTTTTAAAGGAATCTTAATGTATATGGTATAATTATATTATTATGGACAATATTGAAGGGATCTAAATTAATTGATAATGATTACGAATGAGTATAGAAAAGATAAAAATGTACATTAGCAAAACAAACTTGTATTTTAATATTTAATTGAATGTAAATAATTAAATTTGCTAAATAATTTATGTAGAATTATTAATTTATACACGTCAAAACCGCCTAATCACGTGATTATGCGTCATTGATGGATTTTTTTCTTTTGGTTTTTTAAAATTTTTCTTCAATTGGTGTAAGAAAAAAAAAATGTTAATTTTGCCAGGTAACCCCGCGCTTTCAGACTTCAAAAAAAAAACATTATTAAAAAATATTCAAGCATATGTTCCAATAGATACAATTACGGCAATATATGTTCATTTTATACAGCCTCGTAATGAAGAATCATTAAAAATATTAAAAGATTCGAAGTCAATAGAAAGAAAAATTTTAGATAATCTGCTTAATTATGGAATTATTAATACAACCAATGACTCGATTAATAAAATAAAAGAATATATAACATCCCCAAAACCAATCGCTGATCCACACATTTTAATTGTTATACCAAGACCAGGTACAATTTCGCCTTGGTCTTCTAAAGCGACAAATATATCTTATATGTGTAATTTAGAACAACATGTAGAAAGAATTGAACGCGGTGTAGCATATTTATTTGGCACAAAATTAACGGTCGATATGAGACATATTATTTCAGAAAAACTTGTTATGCTGGATCATTTATTATATGATCGAATGACTCAAATTATTGTTAATCATCTACCATCATCTGAAACTATTTTTAAACACGGTAAACCCGCACCTTTAAGAATTATCGAATTATCAAGTGATAGTAATGAAAAATCTTTAGATCATAAATTAGTAGCGAAAAAAAAGCTGATTAATGGAAATAAACAGCTTGGATTGGCGTTAACAGATGATGAAATTGATTATCTAGTTGACGTTTTTGTTGGTGATTCCGAAAATAGTTTGGATAGAAATCCAACGGATGTAGAATTATTTATGTTTGCTCAAGTTAATTCGGAACATTGTCGGCATAAAATATTTAGAGCTGATTGGATAATTGATAATGAAAAAAAATCGTATTCATTATTTGACATGATTAAAAATACTCACAAATTAAATCCTCAATTCACTATATCGGCTTATTCTGATAATGCCGCGGTACTAGAAGGATTTAGAGCCACAAGATTTTCTCCCAATAGTGATTTTAAGTATAATTTATTTGAAGAAGATGTACATATTGTTGCAAAAGTTGAAACTCATAATCATCCAACAGCAGTTTCACCTTTTCCTGGTGCTGCAACGGGCTCTGGCGGTGAAATTCGTGATGAAGGATCTGTTGGTCAAGGATCTAAACCAAAAGCTGGGTTGACTGGATTTAGTGTTTCAAATCTTTTAATTCCCGGTTACGTTCAACCTTGGGAAATTGATTTTGGAAAACCTTCACATATTGCTTCCTCATTTGACATCATGATTGAAGCGCCGTTAGGTGGCGCTGCTTATAATAACGAATTTGGTCGGCCTAATATTACGGGTTATTTTCGTACCTTTGCTCAGGAAGTTCCTATGACTAATGAGACAAATGAAATTCGAGGATATCATAAGCCTATAATGATCGCTGGTGGATTAGGCACAATTAGGCCCCATCATGTGTTTAAGAAACAAATAACGCCAGGAGCTCATTTATTTGTATTAGGCGGACCTGCTATGTTAATTGGACTTGGTGGTGGTGCGGCTTCTTCCATGACAAGCGGTGCTAGTGATGCTCGTTTAGATTTTGGATCAGTTCAACGTGAAAATCCAGAAATGCAACGTAGATGTCAACAAGTTATTGATGTTTGTACAGCATTGGGCGATAAAAATCCTATTCAATCCATTCATGATGTTGGTGCTGGTGGATTATCTAATGCTTTTCCCGAAATTGTACATGATAGTGGATTAGGATGCATAATTCAATTACGCGCTATTCCAAATGATGACCCTGGAATGTCACCCATGGAAATATGGTGTAATGAAGCACAAGAGAGATACGTTTTGGCTGTAGCACAGGATAATATCGAATTATTTGAGAATATTTGTAAGCGTGAAAAATGCCTTTTTGCAGATGTTGGGGTTGCTACAGAAAAGCAAGAGTTGATCTTACAAGATAGTTTGTTAAAAGCTACTCCGATAAATCTTCCGATGTCAATTTTATTTGGAAAACCGCCAAAGATGTTACGTGAAACGACTACTTTAAAACCACATCGTATACCTTTTGACATATCTCTAAAGAGATATTTAGTTGATGTTGCAGATCAAGGTGAAATTTTAAAAGATGCAATAAACCGCGTTCTTCGACTTCCATCAGTAGCTTCCAAATCTTTTCTAATCAATATTGGTGATAGGACTATCACTGGATTGGTTGCACGAGACCAAATGGTTGGACCGTGGCAAATACCTGTAGCAGATGTTGCTGTTACAATATCATCGTATGGTGTTGGAATTAACGCGGGAGAAGCAATGGCGATAGGTGAACGTGCACCAATTTCTTTAATCTCACATGGAGCGTCAGCACGTATTGCTGTAGCCGAAGCAATTACAAATCTTGCAGCTGCAAATATTAAATCTATTTCTCGTATACGTCTGAGTGCTAACTGGATGTGTGCGGCGAATCATGATGGTGAAGGTTCAGGTTTATATGAAGCTGTACAGACAATTAGTTTGGAGCTTTGCCCAGCTTTAGGAATTAGCATTCCAGTTGGAAAAGATTCAATGTCAATGAAAATGAAATGGAAAGATGAAAATGATAACCGGAAAGAGATCATTTCTCCATTGAGTTTGGTTATTACGGGATTTGCAACTGTGGTTAATACTCATAAAACTTTGACACCTCAATTAAGAACTGATATAATAGAAAACACAATTCTTGTGTTTTTGGATTTGGCGAATGGTAAGCAAAGGATGGGCGGATCAGCTATTGCACAAGTCTATAAGCAGATAGGCAATGAAGTTCCAGATGTGGAAAGTCCTAAGTTAATTAAGTCCTTTTTTAATGCTATCCAGGATGTTCGTCAGGGTGAATATGAAAGTATTTTGGCATATCATGACAGGTCTGATGGCGGATTATTTGTTACTATTATTGAAATGGCTTTCGCTGGTCATGTTGGAATTAGTGTAAATATTTCATGTATTTTACAAAATAATGATGTTATTGGAGCTTTGTTTAATGAAGAACTTGGTGCTGTTATTCAACTTAGACAAAATGATTTTGAAAATGTTACCAATGCATTTGTTAATTTGGGTTTCCCAAAGGAAAATATTTATCATATTGGCGATGTGTCTCCTGATAAAAGTCAAGATATTCTGATAAAAAAAGATGAACAAATTTTATTTAAATCGTCACGTGTTGAACTACAACGTACTTGGTCCGAAACTTCTTATCAAATGCAGTCAATAAGAGATAATAGTATATGTGCAAAAGAAGAATTTGATAACATATTAGATGTTAATAATCCAGGTCTACATTTTCAATTAACATTTGATCCATCACATGACGTTACTCTACCTTTTATTAAGTGTCCTGAAGAAATAAAGCCAAAGGTAGCAATTCTTCGAGAACAAGGAATAAATGGACAAATCGAAATGGCATACGCTTTTCATCTGGCAGGTTTTAAAACAATAGATGTACATATGTCAGATATTTTATCGGGTAAAGTTACACTTAAAGAATTTAGAGGTATAGCAGCGTGCGGTGGATTCTCATATGGTGATGTTCTTGGAGCAGGTTCTGGATGGGCAAAATCTATATTATTACATTCTAATGCAAGAGAAGAATTTGAGGATTTCTTTAAAAATCGGCAAGATACATTTGCATTAGGAATATGCAATGGATGTCAATTTATGAGCCAATTAAAAGAGTTAATACCCGGTACGGAAAATTGGCCTGTATTTAAAAGAAATAAAAGTGAACAATTTGAAGCAAGATTTAGTCTCGTTAAAATAATTAAATCCGAGGAAAAGTCCCCAAAGGTTACACCTTCAATATTTTTAAAGGATATGACAGGTTCAAGACTCCCTATAGCAGTTGCACATGGTGAAGGTAAAGCTGAATTTTCTAGTGAAGAACAGATGAAAAATTTAATTCAACAGGGATTGGTTGTAATCCAATTTATAGATAACTATGGTAATGTTACAGAAAAATATCCATTTAATCCGAATGGAAGTCCAATGGGAATTACAGGTTTACAAACTCCAAATGGTAGAGTATTAATTATGATGCCTCATCCTGAAAGAGTTATTATGAAAGAAGCAAATTCTTGGTATCCTATTGAGGAGGGAAAGAAATGGGGTGAGGTTGGTCCCTGGTTAAGAATTTTTAGAAATGCTAGAATTTGGGTTGGTTAAAATAGTAAATTTGTAAAATACTATATACAGTCGATCCCCTTTATAGGCACCTTCCATATAAGAACGTGATTTAATGAAATAAGTGATAAAATACGCGCTATGCAGTATGCGCACTGATCTAGGTGTTAAGAGAGAAAAATATTTTTTCCATCCAAAATTTTTTGAAATATGCAATTTTACAAATTGCACAATAAAAAGTTTAGAAGGTTAAAATAACCATAATTCAATCAGATTATCATGTATTTACCACCTGAAAATCCAATCACTAGAACAAACTTTTTAAATTGTAATTATCTGTTATGTACTAAATAATGATCTCACAAATGTAAAATTATTATCATTTGAATCTTCTCAATGAGACGAATGTAATGAATCTAAAATCATAAAAATCCAATCACTAGGTAACGAATACACAAATTTTAAATTTTAAATTATGTGAACTTATATATTTATGTTTGCATAGCATAGTTATATGCAATATTATACCTGTTACATCTTATTAAATTTCATAATAAAAGTACTTGAAAAAAATACATCGAGGATGCATGAAAAAATATTATGAAATATTATAAAAAAATTAGAATTGAAGGAGTTAAGAGGATAGAATTTATTATTAAATTTTTATTTAGATTGATAAATAAAAACATATTTAACTCTAATTTTTATATTCAATATATTATATGTATATAAATTTTCTACTGTATTTTCAATTAGACCCTCACCAATAGGCACACCTCATTATAATCACACCATAGGGGTGTGATTATAGAGGGGGTTGACTGTACAAATTTGATCGATAAAAAAAAAATTTCATATCATAGAATGGCTTCACAAGGAAGACAAGCTATTAACAGATTGGGTGGAATGCTGCCCAAAGGTGGCGGAAAGGGTTTATTTACTGGCGCAGGAACTTTAATTATCTTAGGTGCTGCCGGTCTTGGAATAAATGCCAGTTTGTTTAACGGTATTTGAATATTTATGTTCTCGAAGTTTAGTGTTTGAAAAATTGAAAGACCAGAATGCAAATTTTGGTATTAAAATTTGATAAAAATTTAAATTGTATAATTATCATATAGGAAATAATTAAATAAAGAATTATTGTATTGTGATTTTAAAAATTCTTTCCGTTATAAATTTATGATAAATTACAAGTTCATTTATTATAATTTATAGTTGATGGTGGTCATCGCGCGATAAAATACACCAGGCTTTTCGGAGTCAAAAAAGACATCTATAATGAAGGTACACACTTTATGATTCCATGGTTTGAAACACCGGTCATTTATGATGTGAGAGCAAAACCAAGAAATATTGCGTCTTTGACTGGCACAAAAGGTAATTAATTGATTAATTTATATATATGTTATTTCATATTCTTAAAAATATTATTTTTATTCATATAGATCTTCAAATGGTCAATATTACATGTCGTGTTTTGTCCAAACCAAAAATTGATTCTTTACCTACAATCTACCGAAATCTTGGAACTGATTATGATGAAAGAGTTCTTCCGTCTATTGTTAATGAAGTACTCAAATCTGTTGTAGCACAATTTAATGCATCGCAATTAATCACTCAACGCGAACGAGTTTCGCGTCTTGTGAGAGAAAATTTGACACGCCGTGCACTAAGGTTTAATATCATCCTGGATGATGTTTCCATTACGCATGTTGCATTTTCCCCTGAATTCACTCACGCAGTTGAAGCTAAGCAAATTGCCCAGCAAGAAGCTCAGCGTGCATTTTTTGTGGTGGAAAGCGCTAAACAGGAAAAGCAGTCTATCATTATTAGAGCAGAAGGAGAAGCTGTATCGGCAGAGTTAATTGGTGAGGCAATTAAAAACAAGCCTGGATTTATTGAGTTGAGAAAAATCGAAACGGCTAGAGATATTGCTGCGATTATAGCGAAATCTCAGAATCGCGTATTATTGGATTCCGAAGCTTTATTGTTAAATGTTGCTGATCCGGAAAGGTAATTATTTTTGGGGGTTTCTTTCTTCTTTGGAAATTAGATTCATTTATTATTTATGTTTTGTAGGCACAAGAAGGATTCAAATCGAAAATAAGCGTTTGAATTTCATTTGGAATAAAAACCAATTAAACTAATAAATTCATCTTAAATATTGAATAAAAAAAGTAATTTTAGTGGAAGGCCTTTCAGTTATATATCGAAAAGAATTTAATTACCTTAAATTCTGACGCGTCATAAGACCAAATAAATGAATCTTTAATTTTTGTTTGATTAAAAAAATCTTAGATGTAATATAATATGACTACTCTTGTATGGAAAAACAAATACACAGTGAAATTCGATAAACCGGATCTATCGGTTCCACTAAAAATATCCGGTTTATCGGGATATCCGGTATAGCGAAAAAATTTCGATATATTGGAAATCTATTATACTGAATTCATGCTAATAAAATTAATATACACTATATTTTAATTTTTTCATCTTAGTTTAAGTCATAGAGGCCATGAAAAATAGGTAAATAGCTAAACTGTACTGTACGAAAATATTTTAGCCAATCATAACTCATTGTATACTTTTCAAATTTTTTCAGTTTATTTATCGTACAATAAAATCTGATTGGTGAATTCTCACTTCGTACAGTACAGTTTAGCCAACCGTACAGTACAGTTTATATGTATACTCCATTGATAGATAGCAAAAGGGTTGTTATATAAAAGGTTATCGAAATTGCAGAATTTCAACCTTATCAGAGCAGATTAGATATAGTATTGTAGTAAGTGTTTAAAAATTAGCACCAGTTTCAAAACGAAAGTTTAAACCAGTATAAAAGGATTTGTTAGAACTCATAAGCTGAGTTTTTTATTTCTGAAAATAGCCTCGAAAGTATCTTCCAGTCTTTAAATTTGATTATATTATTTTCTATTTCTACTCCCTTTTCAGTGATTTGAAACATTTGATGATTTGCTTCTTTTTCTAATTGTTTATTATTTTTGAAGTTGGCATAATTTCCTGGCAGTTAAATACTTATCAAAATGAAAGTGTCACTTTTTGAGTTAAATACCTTTTTTAAGGAAATGTATTTTGGACTAATTAAATTATAATCACATGATAAGTGCATTTTTTAATACTTTATCTTTTGGTTCTTTCCATATAAATAGTTTTATATTATAATTGTTATGTAAAAATATTATAATACTGCCTTATAGAGAAATTAATGAGAAAAGTGATTTTTTTTAAATTATCCTTACTAGAAGTAGTTAAAAAATGATTTTACTTTACTAAAAATGGCCAATTTTTTGAAATATTTTTATAGACCTAGATACAATGGCTTTCAAAACAATTGTGCAATTATTTTGTAAAATTTTTAAAATATATCAAGATATATTTAAAATATTATTGAAATTAAAATATTAAAATAATATCAAAGTTAATTATATTATAATAATAAAATAATAACAAAAACATTAAAAAATTATTGTGATATTATTTTGAATTATTTTTATAGACTTAGATACAATATAATTACAAAATAATAGCAAAAGTATAATAAAAACATTTTGATGTATTAAATGTATTTTTGTAGTATTTTAAAATTATTACAAAATCATTTCAAAAAATTGGCTATTTTTAGTAAAGTATGTATGCATAAAACATTTCTGGAATTAATTATTATCAATTTAATAGAAATAGTAAAAGCCAAATGAAGAAATATTAGTATAATAACTATTAATACAAATTAAAATCAATATCTATTTAGCAGGTTATAATAAAATTTAATATGTTTATTAATATTTGAATATTTAATATATATCAGATATATTTTGATAAATATAGAAGCTTATTTTACATCAGTGGATTTGTTTTATCACATATTATTTGCTATAACAAGTTTATTATAGAAATAGAAAAACCCAATTCTTTAATTAATTTATTATGTTTGGCTGACATATGATGAAACAAATTCACTGATATGTATTACTGTTTTCAAATTAGTGTAATATATATATTATCTATTTAAGATAATTATTTTTTGGATAACTATATAAAGAAGAATCAATTATTAGCAATTTCTGAAGGAATTTATGCAAAAATCTCAATTATTTAAGTAGTTTTTCTATAAGGAAGAATTAAAACAGGATTTTACTTATAAAATTAGTTATCTTCAGACATAAGGTAAAAATTATATATAAAATTCTTTGTAAATCTTATTATAAAAGGAAATTTTGTATTACATTATTATGATTTTTCTTCTTTAGCCAATTAACTAATAAATTTAAAAAAAAAGTAAGGCAAAAATCATTAATAATAAACCAATTTCTATAATAATATTTATTATAAGTAAGTAAAGTCCTGTTAAAATTTTGTATAATACTACTATATTTTCAAGAAAAACTACTTAAATAACTGAAAAGTTTTAAGATTTTCTTGGTAATTATTAATAATTGACCTTTTTTTACATAGTTATTTTAAAAAAATCTGAGTTTTTCAGATTTTTTTAAAAGATTTACAGAATTACACTAATTTGAAAATGGTACCGTAAAATCGCAAAAACAAGCACCCCTTTTTTGCAAGGGTTCTGGATGAAAAGTTTGGGGAGGTGCTTATTTTTGCGATATTTTTTTATATATATTCTTATGTTTTATTGCTGCATGAGATTGTGCAAAATAGGGGGAGGTGCTTATTTTCGAGGGGTGCTTATTTTTGCGATTTTACGGTAATAATAAATATTTGATATGTAATTAATAATTAAAATATTTATAAACTTATTAAATAACTGTTTTTTTATACCATACTTAATAATTACAAAATTTTAAATATATATAAAACAAGTTATAATTTGACTTTACTAATAAAAAAAAGCAAATTTAGCCAAATTTGAAAGTTTAAAAATCAGTTTTTTGCAATTATTTTAATTATTTTATTATTTAGTAATTTAATTTATCCATATTTTTTATTAATAGGCTTTATAAAACAAAAAAGTTTATTCATATCTAATTACTAGATTTTAAAATAATTACCAAAAATTATAAGAATAAAAAATATCAATTTTAATGCAAATTAATTTTAATTTATATATAATTTATTTTTTAAATTTACTAGTAATTTTATTTACTAGTGATTCTATTGGTTAATTGATCTAAAAAGGAAAAAAATCATAATAATTTGGTGTAACATTTACTTTTAGATGTATAAATTTATTTATATATAGTAAGATTTTTAAAAATTCTTAATTATGAATTTTACTTTAGATTTTTGGTGATTTATTTTAAGTGGTGTTTTATTCCATTAATAAAAAATTAATTTAATTATATATTAAATTTATAAATTTATATATACAGAAAACTTTAAATATTACTTTAAAAGTACTAGATTATTAATAAAAAACATAATTATTTGTTTAAATATTTTAATTATTTTAAAAATTTTAAAAACATTTTATTTTAATTTTTTAATTATTTTTAAACTTATAAAAATTTATTTTATATTTTTATTCTATATTATAACTTTATAGAAAATAGAAATTATTTAAATTTCTTGAATTTTTACAAGAATTATAAATAAAATTTTTTTACAGAATTCAGTTATTTTAAGTTTAAGTTTAAGCTTAATATTTTAAACTAAAGTTGCCTGTTAAAATTAGGTATTTTTGAACATTGAAAGCTATTGAATTCTGCCATTTATTAGTTAGATATATATGCAAAAATTTGAATTAAATTATATTCTTTTTTCTTATGGTGGTTTTTATTAGTATATGAATAATAATTTGATTTGGAAAATAATTAAAATAAGTATTATTAGAATAATTTACTTGAGAACTTCAAGATGTACAGCCCATTTTATATACAGCTAGACTTTTATAAAACAAATTTCATTAAGAAATATTAATAAAATTTATTTTGTTACTTTTATATTTTTTAAATTTCAACATATCTATATTTATAATTTAAGAAATTACGTATTAATGCACCATGTTCCAATGTCCTTACCCTCGTAGGGACGATCCGGGAACCCCTGTAGGACTAATGCTTTTTTTATTTTTTTGAATTCTTATGCGACTTCATACTTAACTTTACTCGTGATATTCTCTTGGCACACATATACATATTAAATACTGTATATGGAGACTAGTCGTACAGGTTAAGAAGGATACATTTTCGCGCTGGTCAAGAAGTTATTTAGCATTTATTTAATTTGGACGGAAAAATAAAGAAATATAAATACGTAATAATGACAACAGTTGAATGTTGTCAGAAGTAATACCAATAGATTTATAACGTAAATAAGTTCGGTAATGAACCAATATGGTATAATCTTATAAATATATTCTTCAGGTGTGTTCAAGGTATAAATGGAAAGAAAACGCGTCTTTTTGTGTTCTAGATGTACTAAATCCGCAGCATGTATGGAATACCTAGCATTGTAGCACGTAAATCGGTCAGCCACAGTGCTACTGCGCCACAAGAAAATTTGATATAAAGCTCTCTAAATAACACCTTTTCTTTCTTCGTCAAAACCCAAAAGCTTGTACTCTCTTTTTGTAGTATTAGCATTCTTTCATTCATTACATTATATTGTTCACTCACCATATTCCACGAACTTCTTAAAATCAATTACTTTCCTATATTTCACACTTCTCAAGATGGGGTCAGAAATGCCCCAACAATTTGACGACGTTTTAACCGAGCTGCTGATTGACAAAATCAACCTATGGTTTAAAACGTTTAAATTGAATCCCAGTTACGTTGAAACTAAGGTTTCGCGAGAGGTTCTTGTTGAGCATATACAGCGCCACGTAATCCAGCCAAACAAGATTAATAACGCAGCGAAGGAGCTACTCAAGTAAGTATACTAATACCTAAATCACCTCGAAAGCGCTTGGAATGATTTAATTGGACGCAAAGTAGAGAAAGGAGGTCATGAAATTTATAGTCTATTAATTATTTAGAAAATCGCCGTATTGTGCTTCTTAATATACAATATTTATTGTGTGTTTGTTACTTGAACAACTACCATCTATTCACGTTAATGAACCCAACTTTTTTTTATTCAGGGTTCCTTCCGTTATTGAAGCTGCTGGTGTTACTACTGAAAATGAGAGGGAATTCATATCGTAAATATCTTTTATTTTGACACTCATTTTAGCATAAAATATTTATTATAACTTTGTTTTAAGACATGCAAACAGGTACTTTGAAATGTACCTACCGAACGCAGGTTGCGAAATAGCAGAAACGCCGCGTTATTCTGGTTCTGATAAACGAGAGGCATGTATAATAGCAACAAAAAAATGGCAAGTTGGTGATGAAATCAAATACTGCACTGGAGTTCTTGTTCCTATCACTAGCGAAGAGGAACGAGCTCTTGAAGGCGGAAGAGATTTCAGTATAATGTGGTCAACCAGAAAAGATTGCATGTGTTTACTTCTTGGACCAGCTAGGTTTGTTAATGTAAGTAATTCAGGCTTCTTGACGGACTGTTATTTTAACATCGATCAATATGAGATCTTAATAGCTCAAACGGTAAAAATCGGGCTTCGACAATATTGAAACACCCTACCAATTATTATATAACGTTTCATGTTTTATAATTATAATTGTTCTTATTATTTTAGCATGATTGTAACCCAAACACACATTTTATTGCGACGGGACAAAATACAATCTCTTTTAAATTGCTTAGAGACGTAGCGGTTGGTGAAGAACTAACAGCTCATTATGGTGAAAATTATTTCGGTCAAGGCAATGAAGAATGTCTTTGTGTAACCTGCGAACAAAAACAAACTGGCGGCTTCAAGAAAGTTAGGGATGAAGCAGAAGAAGAAGCCTATGAAGGTTTAAGACCTTTCGTATATAATGATGGCAGGCTTGTGAGGCGTAGCATGCGCCGTAATAAAGCTATTCAGTGTACGTTAATTTTTTTTTTTTTTTCCTAAGAAAAAAAATTACTTATAATCCGATTCATCGAACGTTTTTTCAACTAGTTAATAACACCACTAAAAGTAAAAGTAAACCTGTTCCTGTTCGCGTTAACAAAAATATGGATGACGACTCAGTAGCAGAAAATTCTTCGATTGACATTAATAGTGATATTTCTCCTGCAGATGATCATACCACTTCTACACAAATACAGATGGACCTTGATGAACGTACCACTTCAGTTAGAACACAACCTACCATTAATACCAACGTTTCAGGACGTATTACTTCCACTAACAGAACCGAAAATAAAAATTGCCTTCCTGTAAATTCGGCATCAATCTCGGTGAGACAACGAAAGTTTTTGGAGCCAATGAGTTTCAAAGCATTGTTCTCAACAACTCGAGTACGCCCTAACGCATCATTTACAGCGATTAATTCTTCTAGTGGCAATTCTGGTAGATTATTCCAAGATATTGGTACTGGCAATCAAGAATCAAGAGCTAATGTCCCTCAAGAAATTTGTAATAATAATTATCAATCATTGAGGACAAATACATCAAATACAGTTACGCAAGACGAGCGAAATGATAATTCTCCATCCGGATCAACATTACAACGCCCTAACAGAGATTCTGGAATGTTAATGCACACTACTATAACAAATTCTAGAGCAAACCAAGAAATTAATTCAACTGGGCTATCAATTCAATCTAATGTAGCAAGTGAACAGTCATCGCGAACGGCGTCAACTGTTGTCCCTCACGTAAGTCGTGGTATTAATTCTATATCCGTATCAAAGTTTCCTCAGTCAACAACCGATGATAGATCAGTTAGTGCAAAACATATAAATAGTAGAAATACTTCAAATTACAATTCGCATTCGATTATTAATCGACGTGAATCTGAGCCAGTATACGCTACTAGGACTATAGAACGAGTTCCAAATGTATCACCGATGTCTGTTAGTCGAAGATCCTCAGTGTCTAATCAAACCAGCAATACCGGATTTAGCAGACAGCATTTAGATTCTTTGAACCAAAAAGGATTACCAGATATTGGTGAGATGTCAGGACTTGTTGCATCACGACCGTGGACGGGTGTGGAGTTAACAGCCAACCCAAATATTCAAATTACTTGGGGAATAGAAACACAGATTATAGTACCAGGGAATAACCAGTGGCAAAGGCAGTTTCCTTCTACATATAAAGGGAGAGGAAATAGGTCGCGAGCCACTAATAGTAATACTTCGCGAATGTCTATTTCTTACTTATGTAGTAATGATTTGCCCGGACAAAATGATTCTAATCAAAAACTTAGTGCTAGTTTTTTTAATGATAAGCCTAACATAAAAAGGGTTTGTCGAGTATGTCGTGAAAAATTTGCGCCACTTCAAGTGGACATGAATGCCCACAAATGCCCAAGATGCTCGCGACATTTTAGTTTATATAACCTTGAATGGCCGTTACGAAAACAACCAAGACAACCCAAGGAAAAGGGAAAGGCCAAAGAAGTAAGTTCGGTAGATATTTTTTTATTTTTTTATTAAATAATATATATAATTTTTTTATGAATAGACAAGGAATCGTAATGAAATGATAAATCGACGAGACAAAAAAGCGACGGCAATGGCACCGATAATAACGACGACAAATAATAAAGGAAAAACTAGACAAATGTCTGTACCCGTAACTTACATAGGAGATAAAAAAGAACATAATGAAAGAATGCAGGCGATAATTTTCGCAGAAAGCAACGAGGAATGGCTTCCTATCCCTGAGATTGATAAAGAGAAATATGCTGTGGGCGAGGAACAACCAACCGCTGGCAAAGGTAAATGGATTTTATTTATAAAATTACGCGCAGAGAAAAAAATATTATTTTTTGTAATGGATCATAAAAATATTTTTTTTACGTATTTTAATTTTTTTTTTTTTAATGTTAAATACTATAATTTAAATTGGAACATTTCTTAAAAGTTCTTTATTTTATTTTAACTTTTTTTAGCTTTTAGTATTTCAATGAAGCGCAAAAGAAACGAAAAGTTCACCACCGGCGAGGTATGGTACAAACCATTTCTCAGATGGAGCGCCAGTACAGGGTATGTGCACCTAAACTCGATTTGGCGCTATGTCGAATTTCATACCTCTCCTGACAATAATAAATTGAGAATGGTGAAGAAGAAAGTTAGCAAGACTTCTCCAAGCGGCTTTGAAGAACACGGAAGTTTTTCAGCCGCATCTTTGCAGGGCGGCTATGCAACTTATCAGGGTGACTGGTAAGTGGTTAAGTAACATAAGGCTTTAACATGGTAAAATTTACACTAACTTATTTTGTACTGTTGTAGGGTTCCATACGAAGATGCTTTGAAAATCGCCGAAGAATTAGGTGTACCTGAATTGCTTCAAAAGTTTATTTTGCCCCCAGATGGAAATATAGCCGCGACGTCGTCTTCTCTGGGAACTGCTACCTCTTCTAAGAGAAAGTATGAGGAAGTAGATGCGGAGGATTCGGATACCGAACCTTCGCATAAAAAACGTACCTAACTAAGGGTCCAGCTTCGGATCCTCTAGAGGAGAAGGGATGGTGGGATTTAGTTCCAGATCCATCGGCTTTTAAAAATCATTGCACTAGAAAAATATAAATAAAGGTAATGTTATGTCGCGGAACTTATATTTCGAAGATTTCGAATGTACTTTAAAGGCGAAATTTATGCGACACAATCTTATGCTCGGATGCCTTTCGTGAAATCTCTACAGAGAAAGAGTAATATAGCGACAACATGGAGGTCCATACAAGAATAATATGATTGCAAGGTGGATGATGGTATCTTACGCAATGATTAATTAATCTCCTCAAGTAGGATCATTTTGTAGAACAATCCTATTATTTCTGTGGATTATCGTGAAATGTGGCACAATCTTTAGGTTTCGATGTTCTTTCTAAGAATAATCGATAAGCAAATTATTTATGGCGCAAACATCGATGGTCTTTTAATAAAATAAGTTCAATATATACCAGATGATAATCAAAATCGGTCATATTTTTATTTCTGTCATTTATGTATAATACAACATAATTTAAATGGAATCTCGTAAGTCAAAGCTCCGAGAATAATTGAAGATCCTCAAAATTTTGTGAACTTATTTAAACATTTAGTCAAGGTATAGCTTCATGATTAATGTTATATTTTCGTTTGCATATTAATTGATCAGTTTCTTCTAATATTATATGTGTTTTTTTGTTAAATTAATAGAAACATACTCATTAATGTGCTTGGAAATTGGGAGCTTTATAAATTCTCAATCAGGGCGCTTGTGAAAATCAGTTTAGCTTAAAATTTTAATAAATCATTAATTTAATTTAATTTAATTGGAAGTGATTTTAAGATAATAACAATGAACATTTAATTCTGTAAACAGAAAGTATCTTTCAAAAGTATATTAATGATTAATATGTAACATATTTAACATATTTAATTTAATATTTAATTAGACTGTTTGGGACATTCTGCAAGGGATCGAGTAATTAATATATGTTAATCAAAAAAGATTGGTAATTTAATTTTTTGTATATATATTATATTATTAAAAGTTGTATATAAAGTGTTTAGTGTGTTATAGAAAATTTTATTAATCAAAATAAACGTCTTAAGAGTATAATCTAACAACGTTCAAATATACGATACAAGTCTGGTAAATTAGCTATTTGAAGTACGTGTCCGTTTTCGGCAATACTTTTTGGAGCAATAAATTGACTTTTTAAAGTAGGGAAAATTAAATGTTCAATTTGCCATTTATATCTTGCAATTTCAGCTTTTTTTTGTTGTTCTGTAAAAATCAAATTTGTTTCTTTTTCAGAACTTTTCCTTTTTGGTAATAATAAGGAATTATCCTTGTTTACATTAGACGTATCACAAATATCCATCGAATTATCGTCTTGATTGTTGCTAATAGATGTTGAAATGTTCGAAAAGTTTGGTGGTTCGGGGGCATAAAATAATCCGAGTTCGCGAGAGAGAGTTTCAAAACATCCCGTTTCAGTTTCCCAATCAACCTTTACGAAAAATATTTTCGTTTAATTTAAATAATATAATGTAGAAAAAGTGGATATAATAGGAGTTTTACCTCTGTTCCTAAACGTAATAAAAATGTTGGAAGTTTATCTAAATTTGGTGCATATCCTTTGAGCATTAAAGGTAAAGTAGCTAATTCACCATTCTCTGTTATAGTCATTGAAAAATACTCTAACAACATTTCTTTCCGCGAGATTAATTGATCAATAATTATCTATTATTAAATAAATTAGAATATAATTAAAATTTTAGTTACAGAACAAATAAAAATTTACCTGGGAAATTTCTTCATTCGGTTTCAAATCTTCCGATTTATCATGATCACAAGATTCTAAAGCGAAAATTGTCAATTCACGTATTGGAGCAGGTATCGACAAATGAATAAACCCGAAATTATGAAATCCGTAGAGTGCCAATTGATAAAATAATTCTTCACTAATGCATAAAATAAATTTGCAATAATTAGTTAACCTAATTTTGTTAATGAGAATAATACAAGTAGAATTTTCATAATACCTGAGAACATTGTAATTGACCATATAAAGTTTTGTTTGATGCTGTACTAACGCAAGAGTTAAAGAATCATCAACACAACCGACGAATGTATGATTTGCAAGTAATTCCGTAAGCCCTTTTAAAAATAATATTTTAATCAGAAATATAGGAATTTTACACATACATAGTTTAAAAGTACCTTTGTGTTCAATTTCCTTTAGTCGTTTACGTAAAGTTAAAATACTAGTTAATCGAACATCGAAACGCTCACGTTTACGTTTCAAATTAGATGATCCCACATTACTATTAACAATATTCTTTGAACTACATAAGAGAAACATATAAAATTAAATATTTTATTTGATTAAAGTACAATGTTTAACGCCCATCGGTTAAAATACCTATTAGGAAAGTTATTATTCCCTTTTTTTGGATTGTCCTTAGGTTGCATATTAAATGTATTATCTGGATTACAAAAGTCATCAAGTGTTTGTACACGACTGTCTGTCCTAACAAGCTTGTAATTTAAAACCTTGACACCTTATTTAATCAAGTGTATAATAGTTAAGTAAATCTTTAAGATGGATGTGTGACATTACATTTATAATTACCCGATTTTTTAATCGAATTTTCTGCTAGATTTGTATTCGTTTCAATAGATTCAGCTCCCGGTAATAAAGTCTATCATAAATTCAATGATAACATTAACCATTATAAAAAAAATGAATAATACATATGATTGGTATGATGTTTTCAAAAAAAACCTGTGTTAAAAATGTCCTTGAACTGTTCGCACCGGCGAGACTTTCTTGTATAGCATCTCCTACTGCAGCAATGACTTCGTCTTCATTCAAGAATCGAACCTATTAAGATAATTAAAAAAACTCAGCAATAGAATATTTAATTTAAGCAGTATGCTAATGAAAATGATTTAACTTCGCGTTTTGTAGGATGAACATTGACGTCAACATTCTGTGGGTTGATTTCCAAACTTAAATATGCAAATGGATGAGTATTCTTTGGCAAATATGTCGTGTATATACTTTCAATAGCCTTTTTTAGTGAAGAATTTTCTACAGCTCTGTCTTTGATGTTGTTACTGATGTTATTACCTATTATAAAAATCAGAATTCAATAAATTCAACACGCATAAAATAATAACTCACGATTTATAAACAAGAGAAAAATCATTTTTTTAAGGTTATAATTCGCGTTGGAGATATATCCATTCAACTTAAACTCGAGCTTTTTAAAAGATTTACTCAATCCCAACAATTCAGAAGCTATACTGCCATATATTTGACGGATATTGTCTAGTACTGAAGACATTGATAAAGTATTTACTTCTGCTTGGTTTGAGCCTTGCTATATACTTAGAATATTAGTATTACAAAGGATATACAAATAATCAAAAATAACATGATAATTGTTCTAACCTTTTTGCAAGTAAAGCTGACACCAGAATTATGAATTGCATATCGATTAACCACATCCAAAATTCTATTATACTCATCACTTGGGCTCTTTAGGGCCTTTCTACGTGTTGGAACATTATAGAAAAGATCTTCGGCCTAACAGAAATTATATCGACAATTGAGTTATTATATTAATATCGAAATTGAAGATAACAAAGAATTTTGTAACTCCGGATTTACGAAGAAATCTTACCGTAATTTGTGTTCCGGTATTACCAGCACATGCTTTTGGCTCCGCATTTGTACCAGGTTTCGCAGGAACAAGTTTACCATCCGAATAACAAGCCCTATAAGCAATTAAGCCATTATTATAGTCATTAGTGTCGAGGAAATGTCACAGAAACGAAAGACTTAAATTTATAAATCGTAAAGACAGTTTAAATTGAAACATTTCATACACATAATACTTGCCTATAAGCGCAGTTAGAATCGGCTGTCTTGGTGGTAATTGTAACGTGTGCCACGTGACTTATGCTCGCCAAAGCTTCACCACGAAAACCGTACGTATTAATATTTGACAAATCTTCGAAATTCTTTAATTTGCTCGTTGTAAAACGTTCACAAACAATAGTCATATCTTCTTTCTTTAGTACAAACTCTTATTAATAAAATTTGAAATGAGTAATAAGTTTGTATTATTATAATGACCAACCCTTATCCCATGTCCGTTGTCAAGAATTTGTAGTAATTTAAGCCCCCCGTCTTTAACCGTTATTTGAATGTTTGAAGCACCAGCATCCAAAGAATTTTCAATCAGCTCCTTTAACGCATTTGCAGGTCGATTAATTATCTTAATTTATTTTATATTTCAGTATTTATTTTGCTAGTTTAAAAAATTAGCAGAGTAATAACGTAAATTATATACCTCTCCGGCAGCAATCCGATTAACTACCGTTTCGTTTAATCTTCTAATAGGACGTGGATTAGTCTTGTCAGTCATTGTTAGCGCGTCTTTTTCGTGTAAATGATATGAATTCATTTATGAAAATTTTCTGCAAGCTATCCAATCAAAGTTTAAATTTTGTGACACGACCTCGACAAGTGATCTACTTGATCTATCCCTCTGATAAGTGTTTGTCCGATTCTTCTATTAGATCGTGTTTGTAAAAATGGCGACAGACACTTGTTATACTATCATCCATCAAGATGACAGCTCAGATCAACCTTCTTTACAGGAGCTCAAAACAGCTCTCGAAAAGGGCTCTGAAGAGGCCAAAATCGAGACTATGAAAAAAATTTTAGTCACGATGCTTAATGGCGAACCGCTTCCTCAGATTTTAATGCACGTTATTCGTTTTGTAATGCCTTCAAAAAGTAAAGCCTTAAAAAAATTACTTCATTTTTACTGGGAGATTTGTCCTAAAACAAATCCTGATGGGAAATTAAAACAAGAAATGATTTTAGTTTGGTAATTCTTTCATTTTCGATTTATATATTAGAAAACCTTTACTTTATGTGTAAAAAATCAATAAAAAGTTATTAAATACAATATATGCTCATCAAATTGTGTAATATTGTGTGTGATTTGATTAATAGAATTCGATAATTAATTATTTATTTCATTCTTTAAAGCAACGCGTTGAGGAATGATTTACAACATCCAAATGAATATATAAGAGGAGCAACACTTCGGTTCCTTTGTAAACTGCGCGAGCCAGAATTATTAGAGCCTTTATTGCCATCTTGTCGATCATGTTTGGTACGATGACCGTAGAAATTTTAATCATTCGTAGAATCCTCATTAACGATTCTAATTTTAATTGATAGGAACATCGACATGCGTATGTTAGAAAAAATGCGGTATTTGCAATTTATACCATATATAAGCATTTCGAATATCTCATTCCTGATGCTCCAGAATTAATTCAAAGTTTTTTAGCAGCGGTAAAAATTAATTCAATATTTGATATTTATCTAATGTACCTTAAAGCAGTATAGAAATTTGAATATTTCATTTCTATTATAAAGGAAGCAGATCAAACTTGTAAACGTAACGCTTTTGTTATGCTTTGCAATACCAATCAAGCCCGTGCCGTAGAATACCTTAACGACGTTTTCGACCAAGTACCAAATTTTGATGAGTTATTGCAGTTATCTGTAATCGAACTAATCAGGAAGGACTGCAGAAATAACAGCACCAACAGGGTGATATATTATTTTTAGTGTCAAAAATATATGTAGATTGCCCTTGCAGAATTTTTGTTAACATTTGCGGGGCATTTGGATATGATTTGCGCAGGGAAAATATATCAGGTGTATCTTTGACTTGTTGAATGCCGCGTCTCATTCGGTCAAGTACGAAGCCGCGACTTCATTAATGGCATTGACTCATGCGCCTGCCGCTGTTAAAGGTAGGTTTGTTCATGAACTTTTTTTAAAAAAATTTATAATATTCTTACTTTTAAATTTAATAATTTAGCTGCCGCATCATGTTATATTGAACTTATTATCAAGGAATCAGATAATAATGTCAAACTAATTGTTTTGGATCGCTTGGACGAATTACGCGAAAAACACGATCAAACCTTAGACGATTTGGTATTGGATATTCTTCGTGTTTTAACTAGGTATCATAAATTAAATAAAAGATTGTATTGCTGTGCTTACAATAATAATTATAGTGCAAATTAAAAATGCGAAATTTTTGTCTATAGTCCAGATATTGAAGTTAGACGTAAAGCATTACGTATCGCTTTAGAATTAGTTACAAATAGAAACGTTCAAGAGGTTGTAGTGTTCTTAAAAAAAGAACTCAGCAAAACTCTTGATCAAGATTACGAAAAGGTATGCAATTTAATTAATTTTATAAGTCATTGTTTACACCGTTATCATTTTTTCTGAATATTCTTTATAGAATAACGAATATAGGCAACTATTGATTCAATCAATTCACGGTTGCGCTATTAAATTTTCTGAAGTTGCAGCGAATGTAGTCCATGTACTCATGGAGTTCTTAGGAGATTCTAATAATCCGGCAGCTGTAGACGTTATTGCATTTGTGCGGTGAGTTATATTTAATTCAATCATATAAAAATTTAACTATTTAATGATTTATATTTAATTAATAGTGAGGTTGTTGAAAAATTTCCGAATCTGCGATCGTCTATTACTGAAAAATTGCTTGAAACTTTCATGGATGTTAAATCAGGCAAAGTATTTAGAGGTGCTCTTTGGATTGTTGGGGAATACTGTTCTAACTGTAAAGGTAATTGATTTTCGACTTTTTTTAGTATTGATTATTATATGTGATTTTAAAATATTAAGAATGTCTTAGATATCGAAGAAGCGTGGAAACAAATCAGAGCTGGTCTTGGGGAAATACCTATTTTGGCCTCAGAACAGGTTTGATAAAAATTATTTAAATCTTTATTATATAAATTCTTTATTAACATATTTAATTAATAGCGGTTGCTTGAAGAAGCAGAAAAGGAAAATAAAAATGAAGAAATTAATCATGAAAATAAACAAAATACTACTTCGTCATCGCGTCGCATCCTTGCTGATGGTACTTATGCCACTGAGACTGCTTTTTCATCAAATTCATCAACTCTCGCGAAGCTTGAGGCAATTAAAGCGGCCGTTAAACCTCCACTTAGATGTAATTACTTGATTTGTTTATATATAAAAATGATAATTATAAATTTATAATTCAATTTACTTTTTATTCTAATGTAGCGTTATTATTGAGTGGTGATTTCTATCTTGGTTCTGTCCTTGCTTCTACATTGACCAAATTAGTCTTGCGTTATTCTGGAATTTCGGAAGATCCCAAAAAAACTAATGCATTGCGAGCTGAAGTAGAAATTATAACTGCTAATAAGATTCTCTACTAAATTTTTTCTAAATGATTGATATTAATCTATGTATTTTTTTTTTGTTTAGGCAATGCTTATAATGGCCAGCATAATTCGAGTTGGACAGTCCCAATTTGCTTCAAACCCAATTGATGAAGATTCTTATGATAGGATTATGTCATGTCTTCATATTTTAGAACAAATTTCTACCGATTATTCGATAAAAAGCGTGTTTTTACACGATACTAGGGCAGCTTTTGCAAGAATCGTTGAAGCTGAAGAGGTATATATGTATTTATGTAATATTTTTATTTTATTTTATTTTTTTTGCATTATATTTATGACTCGAAATTGTTGAATCGATATTTAAATCTAGAAACGCACGGCAGCTAAAAAGGCCAAAGACAAGTCAGCTGCAACGGTTCAAGTTGACGATCTTATTGTATTTAGGCAATTTTCAAAACGAAATATAGGCGATGAGGCAGATGAGGTATATACTTACTCACTTTCCTGGGCTTAATTCGTTGGGAATAGATTCATTATAATTTTTTAAATTTAATTAGTATGAACTAGATTTGACCCGTGCCACCGGTCAAGCTGATTCACGCGATGATTTAATTTCGAAACTTAGCCGTGTAGTTCAACTTACTGGTAAAGTTTAATACCAACTGACTTAAAAAGTTACTTCATAAATAAATTTAATTATCATTAATTTTTGAGTAGGATTTTCCGATCCTGTGTACGCAGAAGCTTATGTCAATGTTCATCAATATGATATCCTATTGGGTAGAATATATATTATATGTTATCTTTTTTTGATAATTGAAATGAAATTAACTTATATCCATTATCTAATTTAATATTAGATGTTTTAATTGTTAATCAGACCAGCGAGACATTACAGAACTTATCAATAGAGTTCGCCACTTTGGGTGATTTGAAATTGGTTGAAAGACCCACACAACATAATCTTGCACCACACAGTTTTCACAGTGTGAAAGCTACAATTAAAGTAAATATAGATTATACTCTTATTCATCGTATAAATTTTTTTCTGTGAACAATGCCTAATATTATTTTGTAGGTTTCATCCACGGAAACGGGTGTGATTTTTGGTAACATTGTTTATGACGGACCAGGAACTTCGGAGAGCAACTGCGTAGTACTTAACGATATCCATATCGATATTATGGATTATATAAATCCAGCATACTGTAATGAAACTCAGGTATATCACGTAAATTTATCCGTTGAAACTTGCAAGTTTATTTACTCTACTTAATCTCTTGCAGTTCCGTAGTATGTGGACAGAATTTGAATGGGAGAACAAAGTCAACGTCAACACAAATATCACGTAAGTTTTATATTTTGATTCAACGGTAATATTTTTAATAAATTACTACTTTATTTAAATTTCGTTTCTTAGAGATTTAAGAGAGTATCTTGGACATATTATGAAATCAACAAATATGAGCTGTTTAACTCCAGAAGTTGCATTATCGGGAGATTGTGGATTCCTCTCTGCAAATATGTATGCTAGAAGTATTTTTGGTAAGGATATCATTGCAAGTAGTAGTTTATATAAGTGAAATCAATTTAATTTGTAATTATTTATAACAGGTGAGGATGCTCTAGCTAATATTAGTATTGAGAAACAAACTGATGGAGCTATTACCGGCCATGTTAGAATTCGAAGTAAGACACAAGGTATAGCGTTAAGTCTTGGGGATAAAATTACATTAGGTATATATAATATAATTCTTTAATTTACTTCATTCTTTAAATTTATTTATTAAAGTTAACCATTTCTTTCATTAGCTCAGAAAGCTGTAGCTTAAATAATATAAAATTTAATCATAAAAAAAATTATTTATTAAAAAATTAAAAAATTAAAAAATTTTACATAGAAAATAAATAATAGATCACATGTCTAAATGGACTAAAATGGATTAGTATCTTTTCTTGTAACTTTAAAATAAACATTTCTTGGTTCTGTGAATTTTATGATTAATTTACAAAATGTTTTTTATTGTAAGCATAAATTAAAGATATTCTCCAAATACTACTTTTTAATTTGTAATTTAATTGTATCTTCATAATTTTATAGAAAAAGTTGCACCATACTATTCAACTTCACCCTGCTTTTTTTACACAAAATTTCGAAACTTATCTTACGGAAAAATTATATAAAGATGTTGAAGGGACTTGTACAGGAAGATTTGGATATGTTATAGCGGTATTAGATACTAACGAAACCTTAGAGATTTCACAAGGAAAAGTTATACCATCAGTTGGGCTAGCCGAATTCGAAGTTGCATATAGAGCCATTGTTTTCAAACCTTTTAAAGGGGAAGTTGTAGATGGTGTTGTAAGTCAAGTCAATAAGGTAAAGACATTTCAAATATAATACTTTAAAAAGTTAATCAATTATTTTAATTGTAATATCTATAATTAGATGGGATTCTTCGCTGATGTGGGGCCATTACAAATATTTGTTTCTAGTCATGTAAGTAGGTTAAACCTAACGGGTGATCAATCTTCAAAGATTCAGAACTCACCATGTGATATCGTTTTTTCTAGTTGATTCCACAAGATCTGAAATTCGATCCTGCAAAAAATCCTCCGTGTTATGCCAACAACAGTGAGGATTCCGTAAGTTATAATCGTTTTTATTAATAATTTATTTTACTTATCATAGTATTTATTTATGTTTGATTTAGTATGCAGTTATTGAGAAAGGAACTCATGTCAGAATAAAAATTGTTGGAACAAGGTTTGATGCAACCGACATTGTGAGTATAAGAATAATTTTTGAATAAATAAATATATTTACATATTTACTAAATTCAAAAATATTTACTAAATTTGAATTTTTTCTTTAATGAAAAAGTTTGCAATTGGAACAATTAAAGATGATTTTTGCGGAGTTGTTACCGGAAGCTAATTAGTAAGTTTACTATTAATTATCTTAATAAGATAATATTTAATTAAGTATTTTGACGGAACCAATTAGTTTTTATTTGTTTTTCAGATATAAACGGGATATAGTTTAATATTTCTATTTCTGGATTTGTTAGTAAGCTAGTAATCATTCATTAGCATGTGTGTAAAAGAAAAGAAAAAAAAAATCTAAATAATGCCAAAATTACATTCAATATAATTCGGGCGTTGAAGACGTTTTAACACATTCTATATTTTTAGTTACTGGTTCCCACATCCATGATAATATAAAAAACATAAACACATATCCTAACAAAAAAAAAATTTTTGATGTAGGAATTATTATACGCGTTTGATTATCTTGTCCAATCTGGAATACAACGAGTAAATTGATTTTAAAATAAGATAAGATTGTAAAATGAAACTGATATACAAATATAAACCTTGTGAGAAACTTCAACGATTGAACCATTTTTCCAGTGATTTGGATAAATGAAATCAGTTGTCCACTTTTCATTTCCTGTTACATGCTATCAAATATAAATAAATTTTAAGGGTTAAAAAGTTTAGGCCTCTAGCAATGAGCAAAAAGAAATGAATTAACCTGTGGAAACCCATAATGTTTCAACTTTAACTTTGATAAATCTAAAGTAGAATAAAAAATAATCATTATAAGAATGAAAAGACCGTATTCAAAAACATAATTAAAAGGTTGAGTTATATGGGAAGCGTGATAATATTCTTGCATATTTTTTTTTTTTTTTTTTTTTTTTTTTGAATTCAAGCGCGCTATTTATAATTTTTTTTCATTTTTTTTTTGTGCTACAATATATGAAAATCAACTGGTGTAACACGGTTAGATGCTGAAGTTTACACGTGATCTTTCAAATTTTTCTCAATCATTTATAAAAATCAAATCTTTTTTATTGATAAAGAATTATTTCATAATGATGCATAACAACGATACAGGTATGTTTATTTAATTAAATATTTTCTAACGGAAGTTTCTAAAATTAAGTATATTCTAATCACAGACATTAATAATGGTAACGAATCGGAATTCGAAGATTATTCAACACCCACAAATGACATATCACCGTTCACTCCAATTATATTGCCAACACAAACCACATCTTCAGGACATGAGCATTCTTCATCAAACAATTTAAGTCAACATAACTCGATTACTTTGCCAGAAGGTCAGCAACAATTTATAACACCACCTGAACATGTACAATATCCTGAAGATGATATTCATTTTCATCCAGTTTTAAGACGTTCTTCTACTCCATCATCATCAGAGGAAGAATCTACTTCAAATCAACCATCTCTTAATATAAGAATTCATAATATAGAACAGACAATAAATAATTTACAATCTTCACTAATTACTTCCCGTAGAACAAATGAAATTGAAAAAGCTCTTGAAAAACTTCAAGCTGAAGTTGCTGCTTCACATGAACGTATAGAAAGATTAAGAAAAGATTTGAATGAACGCGATAAAAGTAAAAGGATCATAAATCGAAGTTGGTCTTGGTTTGTTAGAGTAAGTTAATTTTGTTATTTTTGGCGCGTTTCTTTATTATCCCAATTAAATTAATGAATTTATTTATTTAATTTAATCCAGATTATAACAAAACATAAAATTATTAACTGTGTAATATTAGCAATTATATGTGTTACATTCGCACTTAGACGACAATCACCAAGAACGGAATCTTGGCTTCAAAGATTACGTATGCGGAATCGTAAAGTTAAACAATTTGCAAAAAGTGCACTAACTGATTTTAAAAGCACTCACCCATAATTCTTGTTTTCTTTGGCTTTATTTTATAATAATCAGACCGCTCAAAATCCAACACTTTACTTAACATAACCCGGATAAAAAAAATCATGTGACCAGAAGTTCGATGTTAAAAATTGATGCAATCAACCCTATAAATTTTAGTTAATAATATAATTTATAAAAAAAAAGCAGGCACAGAATACTTAATGTTATGTGATAATTAATACATAATTGAAACTTGCTTTTTTAAAAAACATGATTATTCTACGAATTACTATTAATTTTAAAAATGGATTGGTTTATCATATGTGGCCATTGCTGCAATATAAAAAAAAAAGTTAATATTATATTAGTAAATAAGCAAATATTAATGATTACTAACCCGCTTCCTTTAAAGCCTCAGATAATGTCTAAGGAAGTTGAAAGAATCGTAAGAATCAGAAGTTAGGTTAAATATCATTTTTCGAGATAATAAAAACTCACCGGATGAGCGTGGCAAGTTCTAGCAATGTCTTCACTGCTTGCACCATATTCCATGGCCAAAACCGCTTCACCAATCATTTCTCCAGCGTTAGGTCCAATGATATGAACTCCAAGAACTTGATCAGTTTCAGAGTCGGAAATAATTTTGACGAATCCATCCGAGTCATCATTAGTGCGAGCACGAGAATTTGCTGCAAATGGAAAGGTACCAACACGATATGGTTTTTTGGTTTCTTTCACTGCTTCCTCAGTCTTACCGCACCATGCGACTTCAGGATGAGTATATATTACAGATGGTATAGCATCATAATTTACATGTCCATATCCAACCTTAATAGTTTCGACAGCAGCAATACCTTAATAAAAAAGAATTTATTTAATTAGTGCAATATACGTATAAAAAACATAACTCCTTTGTATTACCTTCTTCTTCCGCTTTATGTGCTAACATTGCACCATATGTAACATCACCAATACAAAAAATGTGAGGTTTGTTGGTTTGGAATTGAGAATCGATTTTGATTCTACCCCGTTCGTCAACATCTATGCCTACATTCTCCAACCCGAGATTTTCTGTGTAAGGACGTCGTCCAATCGACACAAGAACGACATCGGCTTCCAACTTTATAAATAAAGGAAACCTTTAACAGAAAAATATGAGAAATTATAAAATAAAAATTAAATACATACAGTTTCTTTATCTCCTCCTTTAGCAGATTCAACATTTACATATACTTTGTCTTCCTTTTTGGAGGCATCAATGACCTTTGTATTCAATTTGAATTTTAACCCCTGTTTTTGAAGTATTCTAAAAAAAGACTTGCTAGCGTATATAACCATAATCGAGATGAATAAGAATTAATGACATGAAAAAAAAAAAATTAAATTTGAAATAATAATGTCATATTACATACGCCGATTCTCCATCCATTCCAGCACCAATAGATCCAAGATACTCTACAACTGTCACATCAGCGCCTAGACGATGCCACACTGATCCTAACTCGAGACCAATAATTCCACCACCTATAACTAACATTTTTTTGGGTACTTTTTCTAAAGAAAGAGCTCCCGTAGATGTAACTATTTGTTTTTCGTCAACCTATATAATTCTATAAATTAATATAGTGCAGATAACTAGATAACTAAGGATTTTAGTATATTAATTAATATTAACCTCTAAACCTTTAAATGGCGTTGGCTCTGATCCAGTTGCAATTATAATATTTTTCGCCTTTAATGTAGTTTTATTTCCATCTAATCCATCTACTTCAATTTCGTTTAACCCAATTAATTTTCCATGTCCCTTAACATAAGTAACCTTATTCTTTTTAAATAATCCTTCAATTCCCCGAGTAAGTCCTGTAACGGCTTTTTCCTTGGCCTTCATCATTGCGGCCAAGTTCAGTTTCACATCCGAAACTTATTTTACCAAACAGCATATTTAACAACAAAGGTTCTTAAAAAAATAAATAAATGTAATAGTCGTAATAACATTATAACTTACCATCGATTCCTCTATCTTTTAATTCATGTTTTGTTTGATGATAAATATGGGAATTGTTCAACAATGCCTTAGAAGGAATACATCCAATATTTAAACAGGTTCCACCAAGTGTTCCTCTTTTTTCAATGCACGCAGTCTGATAAGAATTAAATGATTGTTCATGATGACGCGATTACTTAATATTCCACAAGCTATTATAAATAAGAATTATATACCTTTAAACCCAGCTGAGCAGCTTTAATAGCAGCCACATAACCTCCTGGGCCACCGCCAATTACAACAGTATCGAACTCCTTGTCTATAGGATAAATAGAATTTAGCCTTCCATAATTATGGAAATAGGGTTTGGATACTCAACTTACCAGTAGAAGTTGCAGCATACGACCTACGACCAACTAACGTAAAACTTGCTGGTCTGGTAATTTTATTGGCGATTTGTTTACTTACAAACTGAAATGTACAAAAACAAACGAGTATTTATTAATTAGATTTCAAACTTTGATTCAAATTTAATTAGAAAATATAAAATACATATTTACAAAAAAAGAAGTTTGACTAGGTAATTTGTACATTTTGGTTTTTCGTTAAAACAACGTCAGTCAAAACGAAACGATCTCCAAAGATCTAACAAATATCACATGACACACGCATGTTTGATCGTGTTATTTGTCCGACGATGAGACGATCTGATAATTTTAACTGCGTTAATCAAAACAAACAAAAAGCCATTTATAGTTATAACTTCCTGAAATTTTGCGCCACGCTTAAAGTTGATCTAGTTCTTTTTCCTTACATTTCAACATAATCAGATTTGTAGTGCAAAATGTCCGATGATAGTGCGATTGAGATGGAGTTAGTACCAACTTCAGAATCTGAAGTTCCCGTTGAAGCTAAAAAGCGAATTCACGAAGACGAAGACGAAAACTGTTCTCCCGATGACGCCAAAAGACAAAAGACTGAAGGAGGTAAAAGATCATATTAATTCGTTCTAATTTCATTCAACCTAAATTATTTATTAACTGGTCAAAATTTGACTTAGTCAACCGTTCCGGTTCGCCTTGTTCACCAACTCCGGTTCCCACACCTAAATCTACAACTTCAGCTCCTTCTCCTTCAGGGTCAGCGACGAAGAATTCCATAACTCCTACAAGCTCTTCGAATAGTTTATCGATTGCACCACCGGCAACTAGTTTATATACCCCTCCAGCGACCGCCACAGTTTTCTCTAAATCTTCTTGGTTAGATAAAATGCCCGCATTACATTTAAATGACGCCCAAAAGGCAGCATTAGATAAAGCAAAAGCTTTTGCAAAAGAAATGCAATCGGTGGTAAGTAAAATAGTTCTTTTTGAGTATTATAGATTGAATTTTGATTTTATTTTGTTTGTTATAGTTACTTAATTCTGCTGGAAGTAATCATTCTCCACCGCCACTTCCCACTCTTCTTTTATCGTCTAATCCTGGATTGGCTTCTGGAATAGATCCTCGGTCTCTCTCTGTATTATCACGCATTTATGTTGGCTCTATTAACTTCGAATTAACCGAACAGCATTTACGCGTAGTTTTTGGTCAATTTGGCGCAATTAAAAGCGTTAGTATGTCTTTAGATACACTAACTGGAAAACATAAAGGATTTTGTTTTATTGAATTTGAAACTCCAGAAGGTGCTTCTCTGGCCCTTGATTCAATGAATGGTGCCGAATTAGGTGGAAGGTAATTTACTTATATTTTATCTTATCATTACATTTTATATAAAGAAATGGCTTAAAATGTCATTCATGATAATTTAGACAGCTTAAAGTTGGTCGTCCTAATAATTATACAGCTGCAACCGCTGCTGGTTAGTAATAAGTTTATTTTTTTATTTTAAAGACTTAAATATCTGAATAAGATATGATACTGAACAAGACAATGTAGGATTGTCTCCACCTCCAAAAACTCGAATATATGTATCAAATGTTAACGAATATGTGAGTGAGGAGGACTTATTGAGTATATTTGAATCATTTGGTAAAATCAATCATTGTGCTCTGATGGTAAGTTTCCTCATTCTATCTTAGTTAAGTTCTATTAACGTTTTCTAATATATTTGTTATCATTTTAGCCTGATCTCATAACAAGAAAGCATAAAGGATATGGGTAAGTCGATCCAGTTAATATTTATTTGTGACATATAATGAACCTTAACCTATATAGTGGATATAAGAAGTATTTGGATCAAATTTTTTTGACGATTAATGAGAGAATAATATAATTACCGTGCAACCGGTGTCGCTGTCTGCTCACGTGTTGTGTGAATTTCTTTTTTTCTTTATTGTCCATTTTTCCCTTGCATATTTTCTCTCTTGAATTTCCCCAATTACAAAAACAAACAGACATTTGCCATCAAGCCGCATTTTCAGTTATCAGGAGAAGAGCTCTACATTGACATGCCGGATTTTGATATTCCAATTATTTAATTAATTATTTAATATATGAGTTTATGGCATCGACTTTCTTTTTTTCTTCTTTTTTTTTTTGTTAAATATGGAAGTTGCGGGAAATGCACACTCACTTTTATTTCGTCTATGCACTCTATGCACTCCAATTTATTTTTTTTATTATTTTTATTACTTTTATTATTTATTTTTCCCCGTCATTCGGGTATATTTTTTTCTATGTACATATACATACACAAACACATCAAATGTGCACATATGAATCATGTATATATATCAGATTATTCAGCAGACAGTTATTTACGCCTTCAGTAATGAAAAGCCAGCACGTTCTATGATATGGTAACCACCGCCTGGACGGCCGAAAGTGGTAGTGCTACAACTGTGTCTGAAAATCCGCCCAGCAATATCGAAACTTAAGATTGGAATGGATATAATAAGTTTTTGATTTTGTTTATATATTTAACCTTATTTTTTTCTTTTATTGGTCTTTATTGTTTTAGGTTCATTGAATTTGAAGATGAATCTTCTGCTAGTACAGCTGTAACTTCCATGAACAATTTTGAATTAGGAGGTTTAATTCTACATGTAGGGAAAGCAGTGATTGGAGGGCCTCTTAGTGAAGGGATGAAAGCTATAGAAAAGTTACCTCCTCTGCCAGCGGGAGCTACTCCACCTCCACCTATTGTAACATCACCCTCTGTTTCTGCTGCGGGTATTTTGCGAATATATTTGTATTTAGAAACTTCAAGCTATTCATGATGTCTAATCTTATTTAATGATTTATTAGCGGCAGCAGCTAAAGCGCAGAATGCTGCAGCAAAAATTGCAGCTGATCTTGCAGCAAGAGGTCAAACTGCAGTTGAATCAGTAGCACAAGAGGAGAATATGAGTATTAGTGCCAGTCAGCGTTATGCTATCATGCAGAAATTAGCGAGACAAGAGGTATGTAAAATTTTAATTCATTTATTTATATGAATTCATCAGATTTAAGTTTAAATGTTTGTATTTAGTCATCACCGGTAGTTGTTATAAAGAATGCAGTTGCACCTTCTGAAGTTGATGATACTTTAGAAGATGAATTTAAAGAAGAGTGCAGCAATTATGGTAATGTTGAAAGAGTAGTAGTTTATGTTGATTCGGAAGAAATTTTTGAAAGTGAACGAGGGTTGGTTAAAATTTTCGTGGAATTTGATGACGAAAATGGTAAGGATAACATCGATTTTTGTTGTGTTAATAGAACAAATAAATAAATGTTTCTTTTAAAACATTGTTTTTATTTTATTTTATTTTTTATAGCTGCTGAAAAGGCTAAAGAAAAGTTGGATGGTCGTTGGTTTGGCGGACGTCGTATAAATGCATCTTTATTCGATCTTAAAAAATTTCAAACGGGAGATTATTCTAATTGACGAAAATTCAATCTTACATTCACAAAATTGTACCATTCATTGTTATAGAAATCATAGGAATGCAAAATATTTATAATTATGAGACTTGGATTATTATTGAATGAAATTGTGAAAATTTAGAATTCTTGGCATAGTAATGATTTTTATTTCTAGAAACAAAAAAAAGGTTATGAACCTTTAGTTGATGAATATTATGTAAATATAAGTTATGGAACAATATTAATAGTTAATATTATTTTTTACTGTATTAACAAAGGCTATAATATTTTGTGATTAATAATCTAAAGGCATTAGTTAGTTTTGCTTCCCACTATTTACAACTAACCGCTTTCTAATCCGTTTCCATAACGGAAGCCTTGGTCTTTTTTAAAGCTTCAATTGTTTTCTAAAAGAAAAAACCATTTAAGATTTCTATTTGTATAATTCAATCAATACTTGAATGATTTTTTACCTTCTTTGCATATCGTTGATTACGAAGAAATTTAGGATCAACCTAAATAAATTAAATATAATTAGCTTTATGAAAAACCATAAGTTTAAGGTTAAATATTAAAAATAAATATGAAAAATAAACGTACTCCCTTTAGAGAAGGATAACGATATGTTTTTGGCTTCTTAATACCATTACGGTGAGCCTTTCGATCTAAATTTTTTTTTTTAAAAAAAAAGAACGATCACGTATAAAATTGATATGATACATATGTCCATTAAAGAATTACTTTATAACTTACTCTGATTGTGATTGGTATGATTCTTGCTTTTGGCTAAAATTTGATAATATATACAAATCAGAAAATCGAAAATAATGAATTGATCAAAAAAAAAAAATAAATAAATTAATAAAATAAAACCTACCCATTGCGCTTGAAATAAAAACCTTTTTAATTATCCAAAGAACAAGTATATAAATTGAAATTGAAAAAGATTCAAATATTTATAAAAAAATATTTACGTATTATTCATACAATAAATTAAAATTAAAAATAATACATACCTTTCAAGATTGCAATAAGAGATAATTTCAAATTCAAATATCGAAAAAATTTTTTTATACTTCCAAAATTAAAACCGGTTTGTGTAATGTCCATCATATCTATGAAATTGCCACGTGATAACCTGTTTTTTTGGTTTTGGTATTGGTGGTAGCGCTCTGGTCATAATAACCATTACTGCTTGCAATGGTGATTAAACGTAAACTTAGGAACTCAACAGCGAATACATCTACTCCGGTACCAGAAGTTAAGTCTGAGGAAATAAAAACTCCTAGTCCTACACCTCCTGTAAAGGTTGAGCGACGCGGACGACCACGTAAATCTGAGACCAGCGAGGAAATAACTAACGATAGACCTGTCAAAGCCTCCCGTCCAAACGAAACGTTTAAAATTATTCCCTTTAATCCTAAAGGTACAACTAGTAATAGCAAAGGCAAAGAAAAAGAAACAACTCAATCGCCCACAGATCTTCCTTCGGAGTAAGTACTGATTTTTCAAAGAAACGTGCATATTTCCAGAAGATTTTTACGCTTTCATTTTTAGACCTGTGTACAATGAACCAGTACAACAATTCGAACCTAACTTTGTTACACTTCCGGAAGGTAAATTATATGATTTTGTGCAAAAATAGTGCTTCAAAATTATTAACTTTCTGAAAGCTCCTGTTTTTTCGCCTCTTCCTCAACAACAATCACATATAACACCGCCTATACAAGGGGCTTCAACTTATTCAGGTAATATTTTGCAAACTCCGAGAAACACACGACCACGTAAATGGATACGCAGAAAAGTAGTAATTAAAACTACTGGAGCTGAAATAGCTGTACCTGTTTGGTATTCAAGTATGTAATTGCTTAAAGATACAATTGTTTCTAAATTTTTAATTAGATTCTTATAATTTATTTGAATTTTATAGATGAACAGAAACAATTGAATAATTATGGGATGAATTAGTTAATAAGTTATTTTTAATGAAAGGATATTATTCTTGCTAATTAAATTTCAAATAATAATTTAATTGAATAATTTTACATAAAATATATTATAATTGTTTTATATTGTGTTCTGATTTTAAAATCTGGAATCTGTTAAATGATGGTATAATTTAAGATCAGGTCCCATTATACGCTATCCGTTACATCTCCAAACCAATCCAGATATGTTTTCCAAAAGAAGCACTTTTTAATTCCTCGTTTGCAAACAAAATCCATCTTAACAATTTTAATCAGCTAACCGCTCAAGTAATTATTTTTCATAAAAATGAATTATGGGATGAAGCTAATATTTTAGAACGTCTTTATTATAAAAATAAAAATCAACATCAACGCGCTGGATACTTTCGTAAGATTATAGAGGTTGCCATTTATAATTAACCTTATTGATTATATGATCATTTACTCTTTAACTAATTCAATTTAAAATCTTTAGGTGAGAAAATTTTTAAAAAGAATTAAAGAGATGGGAATTAATGAATTGATGTCTGGATTTATAGAAGCTTTTTATAGCAAAAAAATGTAAGTACTCTTTACTTCTAAAAAATTTTTTTTTTTTCAAAACTTAATGCATTTACGAATATAAAAAGTGGAAAGATTCGAAGTACATGGGATCAAGTGCCATCTCAAGAAATGGTTATTTTTGTCATGAATAGATTAATTGGCGTGGTATTATTGATGAATAAGGTTGGTAAATTATTTCATTAATTTCATTAGCTGCATTAGATCTATAAATTTTAAATTTAAATCAACCTGATGACTGATTTTTAGGCTTTGCAAATATTCAACGACGCATTCAAGTAATTTATATAATTTTTATTACCGAACTTTAAATTATAAAAGCATCAAAAATTTATTTATTTCAATTAATAATAGTACTTTTAGTGCTTTATTACGCCAAACTGAATTTATGTCATTTGCTCTGGCATGTTTAGCAATACTTGCAAGATTTAATATTTTGACACGTGTAATGCTTGAAGAAATTAAAAAATGCTATGGATTACTAAGAAATTGGGTTGAATATTTTCCGGTAATTGTTAAATTGAAATTCTTTAATGTTTCCAGCTTTATTAATTTGTTATTAAATCTCGTGCAGCGATCTTCACAAACTATTCCTGAAACAGATCTTGATAATGAAATTAATAAATTACCTGAATTTCTATAAATGTATACATAGTTAAATAATAATATAAAATCAAATTTATCGTTATAAAGCCGCATTCTTCTCTATCTCATCAACGGGCAGAACATGAAAATGTAATTTAATAAATTTAATATCACCTGAAGGTATAAATGTGTGTGAATACGATCAAACAACTAATGGCGAACACGTAAATTCAAAGGGCATCCTTAACGTATTAACGTAAGGTGGGGCCATGGGAGTGTAGACCTTTATCGTAAACCGGGTGTACGATTAAAATATAGCGAATGTTATTGGTAGGATTAGTTTTGTGTACTAAAAGCACAAAAATATTATTTAAAAAATTCAATGTTTTACAAAATAAAAAGAGCGAAGATGCACCAAAGAAGCGTTTAAACAGAAATTATAGAAAATTACAAATGATACTATCAATATCTAGAATAATTTTGACGATTTTTTTTATTTATTGTTTTTTTATTACAAAATTACGCGTATATAAAAAATTTTAATGTTAAAAATAATATAAAATGAACATTTTTCTTCAAAATTTGAGCTATACAGTCTAATAAATGCTACATTATTTGGTGTTTTATCGTAACACAAGAAATTGTCAAATTGGAACTAGTCCAAAAACCTTGACTGGTTAATAATCGGGTTTTCATACCAAATCTAATTGGATATAAATAATTTCCTTCAATATCGTTATTCACAAAATGCATTTAATAAAACCCATATTCATTTATAACCCAATTCATTCATATATGATCATCTTTCTGGGTGTTACACGAAATACGAATTAAGTGATTCATAAATTATTTATATTTCTACAAAATATCAAATAAAATTACATTTCAAATATTTAAAGAATTAAAAATGTACATAAAGTAAAAAAAAAGTAAATATGTAATATTAAAGAATGTGTAAAGTAACCTATACTTCATTCAAAATGTAAATTATCCAGAATTATTATCCAAAAAAAACAAAAATTTACATTCTAAAGAAAGTTTATGAAATAGTGAATCTTAACAATTCTAAAACTAATTCATCGTTTCTTATATTTCTGTAATCATAAAAAAAAAAAATTATATTAATTTCATAATTTCTATAATTCTTGTAATACATAAAATCATTAATTAAAAATACATACATCTTCCGTTTGTAATTTCTTATTGGGATCGATCGAATTTCGTAACCCGAGTAAAGTTTGTGATACAGCTTCAGTAGCCCCAATCATAGGTTTCAAAACAGCAACTGGAACGGCTCGTATCACGGCTCTTACTGTTCCTTGAGTTCCAGTCTTTTCATATACTTCCATAGGTACAGCAAAAATTGTATGAGCAGCAGTACCTATATTTGTTCGTAAACTCTTATATGCTTTCTCGATACCTAGAAATGATTAAAATATTAGAAAATTTTTGACAAATATTTATTGCAAAATGTAAGAGAATTACCTTCATTTAAATCTGCTGGCTGATTAGCATATTTGCTAATTAATTCTTTAGTGTTTTCATCATCGCTATCAAACTCCTCTTCTACGGTACCTATTGTAGTGTTACTTGAATTATTTCTGTTTTCAGTACTAGTTTGAGATTCAAAAGAGAGAATTTCATCCGCATGTTCGAGTAAAATTTGTGTTCCAACCGCAAGTTTAGTACCAAATTTGATTGCTTCCATAGTTGTAGCTCGAGCAAAAGACTGTGTTCCTTTTTGTAATCCTCGAATAACTCTACCATCTTTCTTATATTGTTCAATTGGTAATAAAATAAGATCAGCGACACCGGAACCTAAATTAACTAATGAACGTATTGGAGCTACACCGGATACTACATTGGGTACTTGTGTGCTCTTTATATGTGGTAACCATGCCGCACCCAACTCTTCAGCTAGTCGTTGCCATCCTTTAACCTTAATTATGAAAAATTGTCAGAATTATATCATTTTACTTAAATAAAATATCAAACTTAAGTAAAAACAAAAGACTCACCCCCGTTAACTTAACATTATTTAATGTCATTTCCGCAGCTTCAAAATGAAAGAAATTCATTAATTCAACCAAATTACCTTCCTTCAGGTTAGCATAATCAATATGTTTAGGCTTATAATCAATCTTCATTTTAATAGGATGTATCTCGATAGATTCTGTTAAATTTTTTAAATCATTAATTAACAATAAATTAAATAATGAATAAAAAGAAAAGGAGAAAAGGTTAACTTACGAAAATAAGTATTATCATCAGCTTTCGGAGGTTTTTCAATAGTAGAATCTTGAAAAGAAAAGAATTGGATTATAAATTGAAGAGCATCTTGATCAATATAAAACCTTAAAGGCAAAAATCGTGCCTAAGATTCATAATGAATTAATAAACCTATTAAAAATAATAAAATAAAACAAAATAAAATTTTTTTTTACGAATTTAAATTAAATACCTTTAATCGTAATTCTTCCAAAGAATCAGTCGGCGTGGGACGAACACTATTTAATTCTATCCTAACCATATTTGATTTACTTTCGCGTGGGCTTGTATCATTATCTGGTCGCATATGAGACAAAAATTTGTGCCACGCTGATGTTTTTATATTATCTAAAATTTCTACATCTCTGATAAGAAGCAACAACCTAAAAGCCAATATATTGTCATTAGGAAAGATATCAATATCTAAATTTACTTTTTCAAGTTTTATGTCAAGCTTGCTAGATTTCGAACGATTTAATCTACGACTAGAATGTTCGGGTCGTTTGCCCTCTCGAATATTTGTATTTTCAGATCCCAATCGCGAACTGACTTGACTGGCAGTGTCACTATGATCGTCTATATAATCGACTTCAGAGCCAGTTTGGGATGTAACATCAAAATCTGAGTTTTTATTAAAAGGTGATGATCCCAAGAAACGTTCGAGAAGGCTATTAGAATCTGTTTCTAAAGAATTACTGCTTGTTTCTCCAATTAAAGAACCTGACCCCCCAACATTTCCATGAGCTTTTGCACGCGCATAGGCATTCATTACTTCATTTTTACTTTGTTCCCAATCATAACCATCATATAATTTCCATACAAGATTAAAGTCTCGTAGTTTAATCCTAGTCAAACTATTTGGTATCCTAAAAACATTAAATGAGAATTTAGTAAAACAAATACAATACACAACTCGAGTACTTATGGTAATTGTTTATATAAACTTACTCTTGAATAGAAGAATCATCAAGTTCGCTTGCACTGGGTACAGCAAAATGATTTTCTGAAAAATTTAGAGGTTCTGAATCCAAACTTTTGATCATATCGTCACGTGATTCCGAAGCTTTAGAACTCCTAACTATTACGTCTTTATTACAAGAAGAATTAGATAATGAATAGTATAATCAATGATTAATACAAATATTTTACTTCATACCTTCGGTATTGTCAAATATGACTGCATTATCAAAAAGATGAGTATCTTGTTCATCTGATTCATTTTCTTCGATAGTGTAATACTCTTCCACGAACTCTAAATTTGAAGCTGGGCTCTTGCTTGGCTTTTTTTTTGGAAGAGGATGTTTAAATGCATCCATATCCAAGCTCTCTACATTATTAAGTTAAACTTAATCATTTAAAATGAAATTTTATTTTTTAAAAAAATCAATTAAAAAATAAAAAAATAAAAATAAATATCAAGTACCTAACATATTTTTGTATACAGGCTCGTCTGAATCATCCCCTCTGTTAGCAGCAGTTGTTATGTGAACTTTTCGTCTATATAAATAAAATTTTCTTTAATTCCTTTTATTTTTAATATCAAAATTTTCAATAATAAAAATTTACCCTTTTTCGGAAATCTCCTCCTTTGGAGTTAAATGATTTATTAGGTTCAATAATGTTTGGAATGTATCCGCACATGTCTCAATCGTAAGGTGTTCATTAGTAAGCTCGAGCTATAAAAGAATGACATTATCAGAAAATTAATTTAAAATAATTTTTATAAAATATAAAATATTTAATACCTCAAAATTTGGATAAATTTCTCCTTTATTTGCTTTAAGTTGAATTTCTGCAAAGTCGAGTGATGCAGCTTTAACGAATCCGATAGCCTTAAATTACAATATAAAATCAGTATATTACATATTATTTCATAAATTCAAATATTAATTACCTTCCAATATTTTTTAACGCTAATAGTTGATGAACCACTTTTATTTATTGCACGTTCTTGAATTGTTTGATCATCGCCAACAAGCATCAAATCCAAATTTTGAACGATTAATTTTGCAGCAAACATTGGTGATCCAGATATTATATTGCTTGATGCCTATAAATAATAAAAAAAAGATGTTTATTACTGAAATCTCACGATGAAAAAATATACAATAATATTACATACTTTTAAACTGTCGAGAACTACAATAACGCGCCCAGGAATATTATTCGGATTAAAGTCTACTGAAGAATCATTTATTGTAACCGATAATTTTATAAATTGACTAGGAAGTTCCACAAAGATTCTCTATAAATCATTTTACATATGTAATATATGTAATATATATTAGTATAAATATTATATTTTATGTAAGTTAATCTTATATACTTGCCATTTCTGGTTCTTGAATGAATTCAAGCAAATCATCTATCCATCGTGTATCTTGAGAATGCCGTAAAGTTACACCATTAATTGATAAAGTTAAATTCGTTTCTTTCATGTTTGCTACAACGTCAAGCGAGATAAGCATTATTATAGAAATCATAGGACGCGTGTTTTTTGTCTAGATAAAGATATAAAAGTTTAGTTGATTTGTTAATGAATAATTAAGCTATATTTATATATTTGATTACCTTAATGCCCTTGTTTAATGTACGACGTAATATCTGTGCTGGTTCTTGTGGCGTTGTTATATCCAAATAATCAAAATTATCATTATCCAAAACAACGTACGTATCATTCTATAAAATATATAAATATAAATTTTTAATATATAAAGATATACTCAAAAGGTTTCATTAATTTTTTTTTTTTACAAAAAAAAAAAAAAACACGCACCTTTCCTTCGTGTTTTATGACACTAAAGAATCTGAAGTCTAGCATGTTGAGTTGATAAATACGTGTTGATTTTGATTTTTCGCTAGCTTTCTTTTCGGGATTTTCAGGATCATATAATATAACAACTTCGACTATAATGAAATTATAAATTTAACTTTAGATTTAATGGTTGCATAGTTGAATTAAAATTTATACATACCTTTGGCTATAAATACGACAACTGATGCGAGACTAGGTCTCAATGGCATTGACTGAGACCCCATAAAACTTCCTCCTTCAAACCTCATTCTCATTTCAGAACTTTCAGAATTATATGAATTCATCCCATAAATTGAATCCGATTGATAATTGCCAGCCATATTAAAGTGACTATCTTGTTCATTAGAATCAAAGTCATTAGCATCAACACTATTTTTAGGTTGCCATAATGTCAAATCATTAAGCATAATTTGCAGAATATCAAATGATGATTTTGTGAGTCGAACACGTGTATGAGGGAAATTACAATTTATCACAAATAACTATTTAATAATGATAAATAAGTAAGTAAGTAAATTAGTTATTAATTTATATATTAGAAATTAAAATTATACTTACCGAACTTTCGATCGTTCTTTGCTTGAACATCAATATTTCTTCCTCTTCATTTTCTACTGGCCAACTGGAACGATCTTCTCCTTCAAATGATGAAAAAGTTTGTGAAAATGGGGAAGATCGAACATTACCTCCGATAAAAGGCAATTTGCTTTTGACCGCGCTTGTAGGTCTATAAGTAATTTCAACATTAGGAAACATTGGAGATATATGAGCCATAGAACGATGATGAGTTGATGGTGTTAATGGTTTCATAGCAAGAAAACATTTAGCGTCCGAATCTGAAAAATTTTTTTTTAATAGAATTAGTAAATATCCCAAAGAAGAATTTTTTTTTTTAATAATCATAAACATTTATATACCATTAGATTCTTTTAAGAAAATATTTACTCCCCCACATTCTATCTTTATTCTATTTTGTTGTAAGTCACCGGAGCGACCTTCAGGTTCAGAATGCTGTTGAATACCGTAATTTTCTATACCAGGACTCTTTGTGACTCCAGTCGCAACATGAATATTTATTATATCGAAAATCATTAAATTAGAATGTATGCAATAATCTTCAACTATTTCATGTGTATTAGAAGCACCCAAATCTGGACAGTGCAACATCATGCGAATTAAATCACAATTAATTCGAAGATGAAACTTTTCCGATTTTTTCTATTGAAAATAATAATAATTAGAAAAAAAAAATCACCAAAAACACAAACAATTTTTAAAAAAAAAAAGAAACTTCACTTCACCTCATTCATCCTCTGTGTATCCAAATCATCAATTATGTTTTTTTCGTTAAATATATGTTTGGTAGATGTCTCTTCCGGAGAAGCGCTATTAGCATATTTAGAAAGAGCAAGTATATAATTCTCCAATCGATCGATTATTCGAAGATCAAAGTGTAATTGCACTGGTTGTAAATCAACTGCGATATCGTAATTTAATACATTTGATGGAGTTAAAGTTGATGACAATGTATCTAAAATTTTTTGACAATTAAAATATAATTTAATTATAAAGTAAAAAAAAAAGGTAAAAATAAAAAAAAAAAATACTATATCTACCTTCATTAGAAAGATTCGTAATCTCAACCTTTATTTTAATGACATCCTTGATAACATTATTATTATCGCTTCTACCAAATCTAGTAGTAGCTCTTCCAATTTTTTTAGTACCATTATTTTTATTTTTATTTTTATCCATATTTTTTACTGGAAAAGTTGGAAAATCAGATTCTTCAGGATCATAAAAGTTTAATAGTTCAGGATCAAAAAATAATAAAGGATTATAGGTATTAAAATTGGGAAGTGTAACTTCAGATTTTAAATCTTCAAATTCGGATTTGTTTCTTAAAGGATCTTCTAACCATTCTAAAATAGAAATATCAGAGAATGCTATTTCCATCAATATACGTGAATATTCTTCATTATCCAAATTTTTTTGATAATTAGGAGGATAATTAATATTTGATACACTCCCACGTCGTTTTCCATTATCAATCAAATTTTCAGGATCCCATCTTTGTAATAAACAAGAAAATCCATCAATACTAATTTTTATATGGTTAAGATTTAAATTTTCAGGTAAACGTGTATCGAAGAATTTTTTTTCAGGTATAAAATTAGGTGATGGATCAAGATATAAAATGAAAAGTTCAACACTAGAAATTTTAAAATCAATTTTCATGCTAGATGCATTTGACCCAGAAGATATAATATTTGATGCAGAAGAGGCAATATTAGGAGGATGAGATAAAGATGATTTGTAATGATTTGGAGGTGAATTATTAGATTTTACAAAAGAAAAATTTTCAGAGGAACTTGTAGCATATTCACGATCAAGTTCTAAATTATAAAAATTATTTTTTGATGAATCAATATAATAAGGTTTAAAATGACCTTGTGAACTTATTGATGATTCTTTTTGATGATTTCTTAAATCACCTTTATTTCGTATTGATGTTGAATTAATTTTATTAGGTTCATGTTGATATAAAAGATCATCAAAATCATCATTTTGAATTGGAGAAGAAATTGGACGATAATTTGCATCCTCAAATTGATTCAAATCATCACTTTCGGTACTACTTGGAGGTCTAGTACTTGAAGAAGATTTGCTTCTTGATAACGCGTCGGCTAAATCTGCAATTAATGATACTTGACTAGGAGTTAACACTGCAGTTAATGATTGAATTAAACCTTCAATGTTCCAAGATTGAGTGCTCTTAGCTTGTTGCATGGCTTCTTGTGTCAAATAATATGATGTAGCAGCATTTTGTGCATCAAATTGAATAGTAGGAATAGAATTTTGACTTAATGTAACTCGAATAATATTCTCATGTTCAGAACAAGAAAAGATCATTGCTTCATAAGGAATAGTTTGTTTTTGTTCTTCATTTTCAGAACCAATATCTGAACCATACCCATTTGAATGTGAATCAAAAAATTCGTCTCCACTATCTTCACCACCATATGAAAAAGTTTTAGGTACATTTAATTGTTGTGGTCGTTGTGACGATTGTTGATGAATCCATTGATTTGTTACTTCTTTTAACCAAATATTTAATCCAGTAATAGTAAAGGATTTTATAGTTTCAGCTTGTTCTGGTGGTAATGTTACGCTAGCCGAACCGGATACATTAGGAGGAGTAGGTTCATCATCTAATCCAGGTGTTTCATCTTTAAAAGAAATTTCTGGAATTTTTAACTCGAAACAATATTCCTTAAGTTGATCGTTCTTGTTTGAATTATAATCTCCATTAAGTGAAATAGTTGATTGATGAGAAAGTCGTATACAAGTATCCTTTAAAATTATTTTAACATTTGACATTAATTTATCAATTAATCGTGCCAAAATTTGAACACCTTCTATACCATTGTCACTAGGTATAGAAGATTGTTGTGGTAACGTTTCTGATTGTTCCAGCCCTGAGCCACCCAATTCTTGACTTTCTGATGGAAATGCGTTACTATTATTACTATGAAAAGAATGATAGATTGAATTTCGAAGTTCTTCATCCTCTTCAGGAGGTAACCTTTCATGACGAAGAAAATCACCAGCAAAATGAAATGATGATGAAAGTATGTGTGAATCTTCGGGAGTAGATTTAGCTATAAATTAAAAATAAAAAATAAAAAAGAAATCAAAGAAAAGAAAAATAAAAAAAAAAAAATAAAAATTGATAGCGAGAAAAAAAAAACTCCAAAAAAAATAGACCCGATCAACAAATATATAATATATTTATATATATAATATAATTTTTTAAATTGATTTTACCATTTCTTGGTTTAGCATGTTCAGGAACGACAGTAATTTGTAAATTGCAAATCTCCAATACACAATCACAATTCCATATATTTTTCCAAGGAATATTAGCGACGATAGCACCAATTTTGCCGTCCGTTATTACCACTGGTAAATCAACGACGAGATCATTCAAAACCTTTTTTTTTTTTCATATACACAATATATATTATTATAAATAAAAATAAACATTTACATAAAGTTTAAAAGTTATAAAAAAAATTTTATAAAATACCTCTACATTGAGTTTTAATTCTTTTAGGCGTAGCAACCCTTGGCTAAGTTGAACATCAAGATCAAGATCTATATCCTCAGCTAAAAATTGACCCAAGGCTCTCTTAAGCAAGAATTTGAGCAACCTTTTTTGGATCGTTGAAGGAATGTTTACTAAACCCCAACCCGTAAAAGGCCAACCTCTGTACATTTGTAAATTTCAAAAAGATAATATAAAAAAAAATAATAAATACAATAAAAATACTAAAAAAAAAGATATTATTTTTTACACAAATAACTAAAATCTTTTTAGAATTCTATATTTACTGTGTTTATATAATAACGAATTATAACAACATTCTGTAAAATAGATATTCTCGTATTTATGTAGGTGATAATGGGAAAAAGAGAAAGCCAATTATTAGTCAGCACAGGCTAGTTTTTTAAAGTTCCCTTCTCGCGCAGTATATTTTCCGTTCCCTTGTTTAATATCCGCAGTTAAGAATATGTTAATAACATAATTGGGAACAATAATTATACCATATGGGGGAAATCTGCGGCATCTGAAATAGTATCTGGTATCGGGGATCTCCTATAAAATTACATATTTATGTACCAAAAAGTGATTAAAGTACACCAATGCCATTAAAAAGAGACTTAATTTCCTAAAAAAAAAAAAAAGAAAACATAAAAAAGTCAAGATGCATGTGTAAATTATTTTCCTATAGAATTTCGAAGCAGATAATTATATAATACAATATTCTTAGTTTACGTATCTGATTAAATAAGTAATAGAGTAAGCAATGTCAAAAAAAAAAACTTGAAAATCAAATGATCCACATATAAGATCTACTTGTACTTGGGAAGATCTTTCACCTTTTATTTTTTATTAAATAACTATTATTTGGCACAAACAATATAATTTCTTTTATAAAAAATTACATAATTATCGCCAAAAAAAGATAATTATCGCCAAAAAAGAGTAATGCATAATATAATAATTAACTTGAAGATTTCAATACTGGTGGGTTTACACCTAATAATGGATACAATCTATTTCTAGTTTCTTTCAATTGTGATATAGGTTCATTCCTATTTACAAAAAATACGATTATGTTAATTATATATGTGGTAGTTTTTTTTTTATTTATTTATTTTAATAATAGACTTACCAATCGGTATTAGTTAATATTTCTTCAATTTCCAAGGATTTTTCATCATCTTCTTCAATAGATCCAGTAAGTGTCAAATATAATTGATCCGCTGTATTTCTTCGAATCTATATTAACAATAAAAATCATTATTTTTAATTTCATTTCTAAAGAAGTTTTTATTATAAATATGTTTTTACCTTTGGAAACTGATGAACTAATAAACCAAGTAATTGAAACAATGCCTTCTTTCGCACTGTACCATTTAAAGTAGTCATCCCGCAAAACCTAAAAATTCGATTTTTTTTTTCAATTAGGAATAAGGACCAAAAAGTTATAGCTTACATCACTTACACTTTCATACAAGCAGTCAACTTTTTAATATCTTTAGTTTTCACTCCTTTCTTCACACATTCAAATAATTCCAAAAAATTAAATTCATCCTTATTAGTAATCTTTTGTAATGTACCTGCCTCAAATAAGAAATCAACCACTTCTAATAATGGTACTAATATTCTATCTTGTTTCTCAAAATATTTTGCTAAATCCAATAATGATTTTGCAATATCTATTAATGATAATTCCGATGAAGATATAGTAGAAGAATCAGTTGGTAATAAATTAACATATTCAATTAATGTAGCACTTGAATATCGAACTAAAGATTCAGTCATTCCTCCAGCTGCAACAATCAATCCTGTAAGTAAATCAAATCTAAATTCGGGTATGACCAATAATTTTACCATTCTAGGATATAGTTCTGATGGGCTCGCCCAATGAATTTCTTCATCTCTAAAATAGAAATTTAACATTAATTTATGTTATCTCAAAAAAAAAAGAGAGAAAGGCTTTATTACTAACTTTGGCAATACTTTATGTAATTCATCTCTCCTTGGTATTTCAAACATCCAACTATCATCATTTTCTTTCTTCATATACAAAAGCTCCAATAAAATTTTACCAGCAGTAGATCTTACTCTGTCAATTCTCTCAACACTTTGTTTTAATAAGTTTTTAAATACTTTTATACTCAAATCATTATTCCACCATTTTGTACTTGAGTTTGAGTCCAATTTAATTATAAGTGGACCAAATTCTAATAATCCCATCATACTTGCTTCCCTTATCCAACTTCCAACATCTCCTCTAGAATCTGTACTATAATCCTCAAGTCCCATAAAATATGTATTAATTATTTTTTCATATATCTTTTCATTACAAACTAAGGATTGGAATTTAAAATATATTAATGAGGTTTTGATCAAAATAAAATTTAATATTAATTAGTTTTTACCAGTTTTAAAATCATTTCCTAAATTCTTTGCAATCTTTGTCACAGATAATATGGAATTTCTTCTAGTTTCAGCATCATTCCATACTCTTGTTTGCTATAATTTTTGAATGATATATTTTATAATTTTTGTCATATAAACTAATTCTAAGTATAAAAGGAACACAAACCTGTACAGTAGCGGATATTATTAAAGCATCAAGAGCAGGTTCTAAATATTCTTTAATATTTTTAAACTTAATCAAACCCAAAGCAAGTGAAAATCCTCTTCTTGCATATGCATTCTTTGACGGATTTATATGTCCTATATACGTATTAAAGGAATTAAGGACATTGAAATATAAATCTACAATTCGGTAACAAATTATTAAATATACGTAAATAAAGGATATTTTTCAATTTCCTGTCCATCAATTCCATACTCGGTTATAAGTGCTTCAACAGCATCAACAGCAATCTCTTGTCCATATTCATCTTTTCTTGATAGCAGATCATATACAACATTTTTCCATTCTTTCAATATATCATTATTAATTGGCCATCCTGCTTTTGCTAAACCTGCTATGCAATGTGTTGCTGCCTGACATGTAACTTCTGACCCAAAATCTGTAAACACATTTTCTGGTAATGATCCAATTATACTTGAAATTTGCTAAAAATCAAAGACCTTAATTAGTTATTACATTTTTTTTTTTTTTAAAAAAAAAAAAAATATTAATACATACAGTAATCAATAATTTATGCTTTTCGATCCAACTTTTATCGTTTCCTTGAATGGTTGACCATGCCAAACAAATATCTCCAACCGCAAATAACGCACCATGTCTAATTTGCGAATCAGGCGATAATGTTTGTGGTATCTAAAGAAGTTATTATTAAAATAAGATGATAATAAAATAAATTCATGCAGATTTACATACCAGTAAAGGTAGAACTTTGTTTATCATATAATCAAGATCAAGTCGAGTCAGTCTATTTAACGCCTTTGATGCTAATTCTCTCATAGGTTTGTCCCAATTTGTTATCGTTATCGTACTAAGATGGTCAATTAAATGATATCTATATTCTTCAAATCTAAAATAGTGACATATTAGATTAAAATTAAAATATAAAAAAAAAAATTAAATCAAATCCTTTAGATACTAACTCCGCGATCTTCTCGCTAATATTAAGAAAAGCATTAACCCTATTTCCTACGGCAAAATAATCAGCTTCAGTAATAATTTCAATACCATGAGGGAAATTTCCCTATAAAATAAATTAACAATTAATAGGGGATATAAATATATAAAGTATATAAAGTATTTAAAATCAATTTACCAGACGACCAACATTTTCTTGGAAAGCAGCACTACTTGCGCGTCTAACATTAACTTCCCGATCAAATACCGACACAACCACTAGATAATTTGCCAATTCTGGAACATGAGGTGCCAAAACATCTGGTGCGTATGCACGTGCAAATGACCAGCATACATAACATGCCGCATCTCTAACATGTGATCCAATTGAGTGTGCTCCACGTTTTAAATCAAATTTTAGTGCCTGAATTTAAGAATTATGTAAGATAATGACGTTTAATCTTCTCTTTAATTATTTAGCTCACCTTGCCAACCCAAGGAATTACTTCTGATAACCTTTCAGGTAATAACAATCCTCTTCTTGCCAATTCAGCAATGGCTAAACAAGCTCCATGCCAGGTATAATCTGATACTGCAGAAATTTCGAGTACATCATTACGCGTATAAGTATTTTCTGAAAATAATTCAAATAAAGATCCAATCACATCGTCAGCAAGTTCTTGAGGTAATCTTTGTGATAATCTTCCAATCCCTTTAGCAGCAGACCAACGTACAACAGTGTCCTGTAAAAAAAGGCTGTATTAAATTCTGCTTAAAAAAAATAAAGAGATAATTAATTATATAAATGATCACCTTATTACGTAGACCATTCAACAATATTTCAATTATTTCTTCAATTTGATCGGGTATTTCCTCTTCCTCTTCTTCACTATCTTTAAGTGATTGATGAACATTCGAGGGATCAATCCCCGTTTTATCCGATACTTCTAAATTATCTCTAAGGGATCTATTTCCTAGTAAAAATGATTAATCATCTAATAATTTAGAACATAATTAAATGAAACAGACATATTTTTAATCTGACACTAACCTCTTTGATATCTCCATGAAGCAACCTTAGGTTTCAAATAACATAATCCAAATCTTTGAGCCAATTTTACCGACATTTTCCTAACTAGAGTATTATTAGCAAACGTCTTATTTTCCTCAAGTATAAATAAACATGGCCAAGCAGTCTCAAGAGTAGGAAGCAATGTTTGCCTTTGTCCCAATTTGTAAATAGCACAAAGTGAAGTGAAAATTCCAGTGATCTATATAAAGATATAGGTTATTTTCGTAATATGTTCAAGGAAGATATTGTAAAATATATAAATTATGTTAATATATACTTTTAGAGGAACTTACCGTGAACACATCTGTAACCTTTTTAACTTCATCTCTTGCCCATTGAATATAATCCAACAAATAAGCTTCAGCTATATCTCGTCTATAATAAATTAAATAAGTATTAGATGACATAAACACAATTTAGGAATATTAATTGTTTGTTTTTTTTTTTTCAAACCTTGTCAATAATCTAGATAAGAGCACAGCTGCAGCATCTCTCTCTTTACCAGTGACTTTTAAATAAAACTTTGATAAATCAATTATATGATCCACTAAAGGAAACTAAATTAATCAAATTAATTAAATTATTGAGTAAATAAGTAAATATTAATTTATTAATTTATTAATTTACCTTTTCCTTTTTACCTTCACTTCCACTTGCTTTACTATCAACAGTTTTTAAATCAAAAGGTATAATACAAATAAGTGATAACCAAATCAATAAAACATATCTAGTTTCCCAAGCATTAAAATCCTTTGTATTTAAAACTACCAAAAAATAAAATGTAGGTTCTAAATCTGCTACTTCATGAGAAAAAAATTTTACTAAAGTAAAAAATTATAAAAATTAGCAATAATATTAAAAAAAAAAAAATTAAAATATTTTCAAGAAAAAAAAAAAAATTTGATTTTTTTTTATAATTACAAATAGTCTTAAATCCACGAATTTTCATAATATAATACATAAGCATAAATAATCTTTGTATCTTAACTGGAACTTTAATAATATCTTTTGAACTAACAATTGATATGTTATTTGAAAGAACTAAGGACGCCGCATTAACCGATTTAATATAAGATCTTAATAATTCAATTATGGGTTTAACTATTGCTTCTAAATGAGGATCAAGTAAGTAAGGTTGTTCTTGATATGGATTAATCTAAAAAGTAAAGAGTCAAATGTTTATCAATCACATATTCATATATAATTTTTAATTTTTTTAATAATTTACCAAATTAATAGCTTTTTTTAAATTTTTTTCTTGTTCGACATCATTTTCCTTTGAAAGTTCTTCCTCATCCGATTTCAATAAAATATCTAATGATTCAAAAAATTCTTTTGATTGCATAAAATGCGAAAGTGAATTATTGGCATTATCAACATCTATATCAACGTTTGTTTCATCAAATTCCATGATTAAAATAAATTAAATAAATAAAGATTTGATTATGTTATTGTGTTTAGAAATGATGCAGAAGAGTTATTATATATGATTTGAACAATGACTTGTGTAACTTTTTTTAAGATAATCAAATTAGGATAAAGTTAGATATATTTCGATCAAAAAAAAAAAAGCACGGCAACAAATTTTCCCACTATAGAATGACAGATCATCATTTTGCATAAAAAATTTTTCTTAGTTGTCACGAAATTGAAGGTGATAATTATGAATTAAGTACAAGAAGTTAACTTTCACACCTTGAGAAAAAAAAAAAAAAAATAAGGAGAGAATATGGTAACGCAAGGCTTATTTTTCAAAACAAAGCATTCATCGAAAAAAGAAAAAAAGAAATTAATAACACTAAACAATTACTTTTATAAAACTACGAGTAAGAAACCTTGTCAAAATTAAAGGTTGTGTTACATACCCTTATTTTTATTGTTTCATATTTAGATTGTTATACAATTTGGATTAAAATTCCTTGTAATAATAGAGGACGGTTTATCCTAATGAATAGAACGGAAACACGGAATTAAGTTATGAGAATTAAGAATCATTAAGGCTGAAAAAAAAAGAAGGTAACAAAATTCTTGGATGATATCAAATAAAATGAAACAAACATAGAAACAAAGGTAACCCTCTTTTTAAGGATAAAGTCTTGTATCGAAATTCTAATGAAGAGAATGGTATCCTGCTTTGTGATTGTTATATGCATTTAGAGACAATGTTTAAACATTAAACGAAAGGAGACCAATCTTATCACGCTCCAGCGGGTAACTTTGCTGTCTTGGTTTCACTATTAAAGGAAGAAAGGCTTTAAAACAAGTTTGAAAATTCCAATTTTCACAATAAAACTCATGGGTCTCACTAATGATATAGTGCATTATGACATTGTTGTGATGTTTGTAACAATTACAATATTAACAAGTTCTTTTTATGGATTGGTAAATACTGTAACTATCGGAGTTTTCTTTTTAACTTGAAACTTTATTTTTTTAACTTTCCAAAATTTCGGTGAAATAATTCCGGTTCAACCTTACCTATTTGTTGGTATGACCCTTAAATTATAATTGTTATAATGGGGATCAACATCAGATTAACGTATCAGAAGTGCAGAAAAGTATTTAAAGTAACAATATAACAATCAATATATAACAATAATACACTGTATAATATATAAAACAATTTTTTATTTGACTGATTCAATAAATGATTTGTTACATGAAAGTTTCATAGTGGTTTGATTTGAAAGGGGTTTTTTTTTTTAAAAAAAAAAAAAAAAAGCTCCAATGATGGAATGTGCGAAAAAAAAGAGTAAATAATAAATTAATTCAACTAAACTTAATCAATAAGTTTTGTTAAAGAAAAAAAAAAAGGGAGAAATCACCCAAATTTAACTTAATAAATTACAAATTAAATTGCAGTTAAAACCAGCTGCAAAAAATAAATCGGGTTTATTCCGAGGAAATATTTGTGCATTGCATGTAGTATTAATTTGAGAGGGAACAACCTCTATCATCAAATCATCATTAATCATTCTAACCTTATGATTACTTTTTGCTAAATGTAATCTTATTTCATAAAAAGAATAATGTTTTGGAGGATTTAAATTATTATCATAGTGATGACATAATTTACATTTAAAAATTCTTTTGTTACGTAAACCACCATAAAGGAAAGCTCCACGTACAGTTTCAATTGGAGCAGGATGATCTTTTAAATATTGAGCTTCTTCACGAAGTTGAGGAACCAAAACATTCATTAAAAATTCATCATCCCAAAGAATTCTTGGATCTTGATTCATAAAAGGTGGATTACGAAATGAAGGGCACCATGGTAAAAATTTTATCAATGAACTTTCAAAAATTTCATTGCATTCCATCCTCTTAATTAAATTATAATTTGAATCGTCGGAATCACTATTAGATTCTGAAGACGAACTCGAATTTCTTTCCATATCAATATCATCCATTGATTGATTACTATTTTGTCTTTGACGAGATTGTAAATGATCAATTTCAGGTCTTAATAATTCAAAGATTAATTTAATAATATCCATTTGACGAGTTTGAATAGCAACATCAATTGCCAAATTTCTTTCAATTTCTTGTCTTTGTAATCTTAAAAGAGTAGACATTTGTAAATATTCAGGAATTAATTTATTACGAAAACCAATCCAAGCACGTTTAGTAAAAGGACTAGTAGAAGTTGAACCCATAGCCTTATTATAAGTTAAACATTTATTTACAACAGACATCTTAAATCTTGGAAAACCGAATTCATTAGTTTCCTTTCTTATCAAATTATCAATAGTTATAACACGATCATTTCTTTTCCTTGAATTTTCCATAGTTTTTGACCAATATTCATTTTCATTTTCCAATTCTCTTTTAATAACTTCTTCCATTTTACTACGACCTTCTTCACGTTTTTTAATTATCCAATCTTGACGGTCTTTTAAACTTAATTCATTGAATTCATTATAAGCCTTATGAACATCTTGAATCCAATATAAATTGGAAGGACGATGTTTTATTTTTTCAGGTCCTGAACCAGCAGATCCAGTGATAAATGTCAATCCACTAACGATATCAATATCGTCAGGAACCGAATTTTGAGAGAATAAATGATATCTTATTTGATCCAATCTAAAAAAAAAAAAGAAAGAAAGAAAGAAAGGAATAATATTAGAAAAATCTAAATAAAAATTGTAAAATTGAATTTAAATAATTTAAATATAATAAATTACCTTATGGTTCGATCTTCAAGACATTTCTTGCAACAACGTACGAGGAAAGCCCAATAAATTTTTCTAATTCTTGGTTTTCCACAAAATTGACAACCACGTTCAGAAATAAATTTAACATATTGAAGTTCGGTCATACCTTCAGGAGGAGGCATTTGAACGAAAGGTAAAAATGTGATACGAGAATTTTTCCAAATTTCTTTCGTGGTAAAAGAATCAGTAGAACAAAGATAACCATGAAATTGTTTAGAAACGCGTGCAAGAGAGATGAGATCGATGGGTGGTAAATATTGACAAATGTTTATAAAAATTTCAGGTGGAATTCTCGATGCAGTACTCATAACAGATGGTTTAGAATTGTAAGAATTGTAATATTCGTATTCCATCATTTTTAATTTTTNCGTTCAGAAATAAATTTAACATATTGAAGTTCGGTCATACCTTCAGGAGGAGGCATTTGAACGAAAGGTAAAAATGTGATACGAGAATTTTTCCAGAATCTTTTAATAATAATAATAATAATAAAAAAAAAAAAAAAAAGAAAATATTATTCTTTTTTTAAAAAAATTTTTTTTCTTTGAAGGAAAAAAGATTTTTAGCAGGAGTATTTATATTGTTTTGTTTTATTAATTCTCTTAAAGTCTAAACATGGAAGATAGTTTATGATTGACTTCTACTGTGTCGCAAATAACGTTATTGTTAAAACAGTTTTAGCACATTTCCTCCAGAATATCGGATCCTCAAAATCTAAATTGTTTTTGAATAAACTTTTTACAATAGAAATGAGAAATTTCATTGTCGGAAAAATTTTGTAAAAAGTTGATGGGTTTTGTCTTTGTGTATATATTATAAAACCGGTTTTGAAGTACAACATTGATGGTCAAAAAAAAAAAACCATTCTTACTATTGTTATTGAATTAAACCAACGTTTCACCCTTATTTATATGATCATATGCATTGGCGTGATAAAATATTTCTATATTAGAAAATTTAAGTAACCTAATAAGGTAATTTTTTTTTTCATATCCCAATAAAGTATTTAGGGGGGGGAGTGAATCTTTTTTGTTGTTTGTTCGTTTTGTAAAATTATTTTGGATTGAATGGAAAAAAAAATTTAGTATTTCTTAAATGAAAAATAACAATGATTTTCCGGTACCACTATTTCGAAACCTTTGTGAAAAAAAGTTCCTGGAAATTTTTTTTTTCGAATACCAAATTTGGAAATTTTACATTGATTGAATAGAATTATGTTTCATTTAAAACAAAGGACGACTTTCTCTTTGGATTTTTTATCTCGTTTTAAAATTTGTTACAAATCCAAATTTTTTACAACTTTGGATTCGGTTTTAATACTGTGGCAAATATGATTAACTTTTATGTACATAATGTACAAAAAGTGGAATTTTTTGGTTTTAAACTAAATATGGATACAACCGTTCAAAAGTGGCGGTGGTTTTGGCTGAGGATGAAAAAAAGTTTCGAATTTTCTTATTTTCTTATTAAAACCATTTCAATCATTTTAATCCCGTTAATGAACTTGTTTATGGAATGAATAAAGAATTTCTTTTTGATGAATTTCTTTTTTTTTTGATAAATTTTTTTTAGTATTAGTTTTTATTAATACTGTATATACAATATTAATATTATTTATTATATATTATTATATATTATTATATTATTTATATTATTTATTATTATATAATTGGTATGTAATTTTATGCAGGAGTTAAACTAATATCACATCCCTTTTGTATGATGATGTGATTATTATATGATGATACTGTAATATATATACAGTATATATATTATATATTATATATATATATATATATAATTCATAGTACCCGTACCGTAATACCTCCTGTAGTAAATCTAAAATTTTGGTTAAGGAATTTTTTTAACCGTTTTAAAAATCTTTTTTTACCATTTAACCTTAATATGGTTTTATACCAATCAAATTTTCGAAGTGTAAAAAGAATTTTATTTTAATTTGGTAACTTAATTCCGAATATATTTTAAACAATTGATTCTAACAAATTAAGGATCATATTATAATAATTATATGTTTAATCTTTTTTACTTTCTTATCTAATAATTTCCCTATTGATATAATTTATAAAATGTGGCTAGTGTGTAAACGTCACTTACTATTTTCGTTTTTGAATTCCGATTTTTAATAATAAAATTCCGATTTTAATATTTTTTTTAATAATAAATACCAATTTTAATATTTTTAATAAAAATTACCGATTTTAATAATAACAATTGTTAAACTGAAATAATAATAATAATAATAATAATAATAATAATAATAATAATAATATGTGATATAATTATTATTATTATTATTATAATAAAAAATTATTTTTAAAATTAACCCGAATTTAACCGAATGAGGCGAATGAGGCACAGTAATTAAAAAATTCCAAATGCGTAATTATTTATTCATGATATCATATAAAGTATATTTTCTCTTTAATCCCTATAAAATGACATTTCAATAAGATGATAACATTCGTTTATTACGATTTCCTAAAAAAAGAATGAATAAAATCCAATATCTATATAAATACAACCAAATATTCAAAAAAAAAAAAATTAATCATGAAAAAAAAACCAAAAAAAAATCACTACTCAAAAATACCAAATATCTCCCCAATGTAATTTTGTAATTTTGTAATTTTGTAATTCTGTTAATTTTGTAATAATTATTTTGATAACTTTTTGTGATTTTTTTAATTTTTTAATTTTAAAAATTTTGATAATTTTGATAATTTTATAATTTTGTAATTTTTTTTTTCTTTCAAATAATCAAATAACCCTTAAACACTTTTTTTAAAAATTAAGTAATAGTTATAAAAAAAAAAGTATTCTTCATAATTGATCTACAATGTTCTTTCTTCGTTGATTATTTATTTACCTGTTTTCTAACTTTGTTACTCGTCCCATTTTCTTATATATTTTAACACAAACCTTAAAATATAAAAATTATTATTTATTACATAATGGTGATGAATTATGTCATTTCTCAAAATTCCATGCTGATTCATCGGAAACACTTCTTAATAAAGTAACTACTTCTATCACGGTTGAATAATTACTTTCAAATTGAGGAATAAGGGCGAAAGCAAATAACCATCCAATACATGATAATGCCATGATATGTATAATTGCACGAGCATAATCAAAATCAAGAATATATAATATAGTATGAAAAATTCGAAGAATTGTATATATGACGGAAAAACTAAAATAAAATAAAATAAAATAATTTATTAATTTATTTAATTATTTTAATTATTAAATCATCCATATTTTAAAATTTTAAATTATATTAAATTATCACAAACCTTGTCCTATATGTTGATGGTACTTTATTTAATGTTGCAACAACTACTGCCGTAAAAAATACTACAAGAAATTAAATTAGATATAATATTCGATTTTAAAGGATATATTTACAAATAATGTGATAACTACCAGGAGAATTTTCTAATGCAACTTGATGTGCCGCTGCCACTCTACCTAATGCACCTTTTAACATTGATTTATAAAGTCTCGGTTCCTATCATGTAAAATAATAATAATAATAATAATAAGCTTGTGATTATGGTCCCACAGCACTTTATATAATATATAATTATTTTAATACAAACATTATTATCATATCCATCTTTTAAACCAGCAGATTGTGCTAATACACTTAAAGATGCGGTTATTACATACGTCCAAACAAACATAACGCCAATCATAACAAACGGTACGTCTTTTCGTAAAAAAAAGTAATGTAAAATTGGAAGAACAAAGTCTTCAACAAGTTGTAACTGTTGTATTGCAGCTGTAGCCAAAAAACAAACAGGCGAGAAAAGAATTAAGGCCAAAGTGACGTCTTTCGGTGAAAGTTTCGTCATATTTGACCTTTTTCTTCTACTCGGTCTAGAATTTCTCGTTGATTGCTGCACTTTGATTGTTTTAATTTTGAAAAAGAGAAAAAGAAAATTTAATTTTTTTACCAAAAAAATTTTATAATACTAAATAAAATAATATAAAATTTTCTTGTAAAAAAAATCAATAATATATTTAAAGGGTTAAGCGGAAAGAAAGTGAGAGGAATATCACTGTGGATGGAAAAAAAACAAACAAATCATTTAAGGGTTTAATCATTCCACAAACTTTATATATACTTGGTATGGGAACGCAACTAAAATTAATGCAGCAGGTCATACCAAATTTTTGAGGATCTTTCCAGTTTAAGGAAAAGCAATAGAAACTATATTGTTAGTACCCCAGTAGAAATTATACACGGGTACCAAATATTCAATTCTAAGTAATTAGTGAAAACTTTTTTATTTTCTTATGGCTTTTGAGCGGGAGATTCTCGTGGCTTGGCCGCGTCATAGTTATTTTAATGGAAAAGTAGTATCAGGTAATTGCGCTTTATAAAAGTAGTTACACAAGCTAGCAATTAATTAAAGAATATATATTAGAATCGGAACATTAGATAGAGATTGTTATCAATAACGATCTAATTTGATGAATCATTAATTTAAATGACAATAAAAATCTTAATAACAATAATAATGAACATTTTCTATTTAGTAGAAAATACAATTACATAATGGCAACATCGTTCTCTTCAAAAAAAAAAAAATATATCTTGTTAGTTAAATGATTCTAACTTCATCTCATCGTTTTCTTTTAATTATCGGCGTGGTAGACAGCTAATGCAAGTAAATCTTAGAACTTCTCAAACAAAACTTTAAATTACCTACATTACTCTATTAGGCCGAAGTAAACATGCATGAAATAATGATTACAATCATGCATATTGCAGATCTGCTTTTCATGCACTGTAAAGTCATAAGCTCATGATTGGTGCAAGGAACATTGAATAATTGAAAATTAGAAATACATATGTTCATTCAAGATGCGCAATTAAAATGCAAGAAATTAATTGAATGGGATTCTTATAAATTATAATCGGTCACTCAAATTAGGTAAAAAATTTCGAAATTATTACTCAGTTGTTAGGACATTTAAAGACCGGGGAGATTCGATATTTAAAAGAAATTATCAAGTAGAGATTCCCAAGTAATTATGAAGTATATACAATTTCATTGGAATGATTCACATTGTAATATTACCCTATTTGGTTGGTTTAAATAAGAAAATCATAAATCAAATAAATACGTTAACTTATGGTATTGATGAACAAGATTACGTATGCCATTTAAAATTCCTTAATATGTAGCACTTTAAAAAGTTTAAAAAGTTAAATTAGGATTTCTTGAATGAGTGGATACAGTATGTATGGAAACCCATATACAAAAGCTGTCGATATGTTGAATTTTGGAATTTTAACATTACATAATATTTCTCTTAAAATTATAAAAGGAACTATGTTTGAGAATGTTGGATTAATGCATGAATAGATTGAATAGTTTTCGAGATAATGATTCTCAAAAAAGGTCTGAATTAACATTTAATTTGATGTGTAAAAAAAGATGTGTAGTTCAGGTAATTATAATTTATTTTTACTTTATTATACTTTTTTTATCTATAATGTATATTACTAATGCTACAATTTTACATTTAATCCCAGATAAGAAATTTCTTTTAGCTATTGAGTTTATTCAATTCTGTGCCACAAGTGGCGAGTAGTAGGTGGCGAATTAAGAAAGTTCATTCGAAAATCGAAATCATCATCGCAAATTTGCAACCGGTTAAACAGGTTTAAAATCATTTTAGTCATTGGATGTGTGTTTAACCAAAAAAAACCGGTTAAAATCCGAGTTTAAAACTGGATTTTGGCGTAAAGTAAGTACATCAAATTCACTTTCGACTTTTTAAAATATCGTTTTTTCAACTAATTCACCAGAATTTGTACAATGAATATTGTAGTTTTTTTTATTTTTTTCATTTTATTTTCTCCAAAAATTGTTTCGTCTTGGAATGAAAAAGAGGTAAATTTTGTGATAATCAAATATTTTTGAATTCGAATTTATTTCTTTATTATATTAAAATAGCACTTGCAGTTAAAAGACGTTATACAAGAAGCTTCCGCAGAACTTGACTTCTTTATTGAAAATATTTCTTCCTTCATTATTTACAATATATTATCCGATATCAGAACTTTTACTGGTTCTAGAAAGATTCAAATACAATTCTGGAAATATAGTACTATTAAAGTTGAGGGAGTAAATAAAAGTGATGTATTAAATAATTTGTATACTAAAAATCAACTTTATATTCTTAAAGAATTTCATAATGATATTGGAAATTATTTGAAAAAAAATTTAGGATCAGGATTAACATGGAATGTTAATGTATATCCTAACTATATTGTTGTTGAAATAACTTATAATACTGATTTTAACGCAATTAAATATTTTTCCAAGAAACTTAAGAAATTTGGTGATGAGTTATGAAAATATATAAACTACATATCATGTATGTAATTTGTAAAATATCAAAATGATTATAATTAGTTTCTCGTCCAATAAAAGTCGCTATAAACGGTAAAGTGATTATCAAACCAACCATTCGAGGGATGGTGAATACGAAATAGATAAATAGATCCAATTTCAAGTGAAAATTTTTCACACGCTTTTCTTTTCTTTTTTTTTATTTTCTCAAAAAGGAAAATATGTCAACAACTGAGGTAGGAATTATTTTTCTTTTTTCTATGACAAAAAAAAAAAAAAGTTATTTCATTCTTCCGCCTAAAATACTTGATTGATATTTAAATAGATCGAAGCCAATATAAAAGAAGCATCCGTACAACTTGATCTGCTTATTGACAATTTTTCGTCCTTTTTATCAAATAGAATTTTATCTAATATCCAAACTTTAACTCCGCCTGAAATAATCGTAATCGTATTCAGACATGATTTTTGTAATCAGCAAGGCTTATATGTTAATAATGGATTTAATATTCTCAAAATATTTCATAATGAAATTGGAAAATATTTAGAAAAAAAATTTGAACATGTAGGATTAAAATGGAATGTTTATATTGAATTACCAACTATTAATGTAGAAATAATTTATCACATTGATTTTAGCGCAGTTACAAAGTATTCAAAGAAATTGAATTGATGAGTATTGAACATAAAATATTGTAGATGAAAAAAATATGCACAAAAGTCCTATTATATATAACCAATAAATTTTTAACCAACTTTGATGTTAGAAAGTTTAATAATTATGAAGAACATACTTTATATTAAATATTTATTTAAAAGAATCTGGTTCTAAAATTACTATCTTAGGACTTACGCGTAACTCGACCTTTTAAACTTAAAAGTGGACACAGCAATTGGCTATGTATACTTTACAACCTGATTTAATTTTTAAATAGTACTACTGTTTCACATAATATAAAAGTAAATTTATTCAAATTTACGTAAAATTATATAAATTTGCATTTTCATTTTTATATAATGGATTTATAAAGTATTCGGTGATGAATTTTATTTCTACGGGTAAAGTGATTATAATGTTTCTCGCTCAGATAAAAAACTGTTCTTTAGAAAGATGTTTCAATTAGGTGAGATTTTGCTACAAGTTTAGAAGCGATGGTCCGTTTTTTCTTAAATATGAAAAAATCATTTTATTTCTAATAAAAAATATTATTTCATCTTTACACGCTCTAAACAATCATTTCCATTATTGTACTAATAATAGGCAAAAAATTAGGGAATGGTGATTTAATTATTCTACGATTTAGCTAAAAATAGATAGATTGTCTAATTGTTTTGAATTTTTTAAAAATATGCTATATATACGCTGTCTCTTATACACATCTAGATGTGTATAAGAGACAGACATTACTCAGTAAGTAAAATGATATAATGCATTATTTTATGTTTTATATAAATAATCTTGCTTATATATATCTATATTTTTTTTTAAAAAAAAAAAAGAAAAAATGCCATCCTCAAATGCAAAGGTAAATTTAATAGTTTAATAAATCTTTGAAATTCACTCAAAAATGACTGAAAATTTAAATCAAATTAAAAATAGAATCCACAAATCGAAGCCGCTATGCAAGAAGGGTCCATGCGACTTGATTCACTTATTGAAACATTTTCATCATTATTATCAGAAAATATCAAAACTCTTATTCCATCTGAAAATATTAAAGTTGAATTCAATAAATATTATCGACAACCATCACTCACGATTAATGATGTTCAGATTGATAATAGTGAATTCGATTTGTATTCTAAAAATGGATATTATATTATTAAAGAATTTCATAATGAGATTGGGAATTATTTAAAAGAAAAATTTGAAGGATTGGAATGGAATGTTAATATATTTCCAGTAATTGTTCATATAGAAATGATTTATAATATTGACTATAATGCAATTAGAAAGTATTCAAAGAAAATTGGTGGCGCGGCGGAATTAAAATAATTTGATTTTATTCTTTTATTTACACTATTTTAGATCAAACATACAAATATAATTCCAATAATAATAATAATAATAATAAAACTTAAATACGTAAGTAAATTTCTTCATTATTATATTTCTTCATAAGAGTTAAAATTACCAATTTCATAAGATTTTTAATTATTTGGATATGATCTATTTTCATAAGAATAAATTGAATTTCGCATAACACCACATATAGGTTGTATATCACACATATTTGTAATAAGAACAAAAAATGTTTATATATTAGTTTATACAGTATATAATAATATTTGTTTTTTTGCATAAATATCAATGTACAGATTTATTCTTAACTAATATTACATTATAGTAAGGAATTTATCTGAAATCATAAAATTTAAAATCCTTGTATTTCATAATTCTGATCTAGTAAATAAAATTTATTAAAATTATTTTTATTAGCCAGATAATTTAATAGATTATTTGAATTTCATTAAATCATCTGATTAAAAAATAATTTGCAAAAATTTTATTATTGGATATTAAAATAAATAAGTAATGTAAATTACATAAAATATTGTTTATTATATTTAATATATAATGAAAATTAGCATTTAAACTTACTACAAAAAGAATAATAAAATATTGATTTTTTAAATTAGATAATATATTATATACAGTAAATAACAACTAATAAAAAAAAGCTTGAATTAATAGAAAAAATAATTATAATAATTAATAATAATAATAAAAGAAACTATTTAGTAATAGAATATCTTTTTAACATTATATATAATCTCATATTATATCTTTCAATTAGAATAATAATTAACCATTATTAGAAAAGCAAAATACCTTTATAATTACAAAATATTAAAGAAATAAATATTTCAAATTCACTTTATTAAAAATTTCCTTTTAATTAAAAACTTTACAATTGATACAAATTGAATTTATTATTTACTAATAAAACAAATATTCAATATTTATCTTAAAATTTATTTTAGTTAATAGATGTTACTTTTAAAATAATTCCCAACAATATTTTACCAATTATATTATTTATATATCTGTTAGTTTAACAAAATTGAAAATACTTCTTTTTTATTAATATCAAATAAATTGGAGGAAATCTATAAATAATTATTTGAAGAATTAGTTAATATTGTAGTAAAAATCAATATTAATTTTAACTGATTTTAAATAAATATTTATTAATATATTATATATTTTTTAATATTAATAATAATAAAAAATGTTTTTTTTTTATTTAAGACAATCTGAATAGTAAAAAATTTTATTATATATAATATAATATTATTTATTTGCTTTAGCATTTTTTTATTATAGAAAATTTTAAGTACTTTACATAATGTGAAAGTGGGGTTTGAGAACTGAAGGTCCAATTCCCACTGAAACATTGGATGTGTGGGTCACAGAATGTTAAAAATAATATTGATTTTTCTTATTATATTAAAAGAGTTTCTATCAGCTCTAGAATCTTAATTTTGATATTATATTTTTAAGCTTTGTGTGGGTTCTCCATCTTCAAAAAGCATATCAATTTTTATTAATATATTAGAAAAGCTTCTAATGGCTCTAGAATCTTAATTTTTATATCAACTTTTCAGTTATATTTATTAAATCTAACAAAAATTATTATATCAGGAATTGATTCTGTGTGAGTTAATTCATTAATTATTACTTAAGTCTAACGAAAATAATGAAAATAAATCTAACGGTCCTTATTACTTCTTAAATAAGTCTAACAAAAAAATAAGTCTAACGAAAATAAGTCTAACAGTTCTTATTACCTTATAATTAAGTTTAACAGTTTTTTTAAGTCTAACGAAAATTCATAAATAAGTCTAACCAAAAAATAAGTCTAACCAAATAACTCTAACTACCCTAAATAAGTTTAACCAAAAATGTGTATAACAGAAATGGTTTCAGGCATGTTAGCTTATTAAATGGCATATCGAATAAATAAATCTAACAAAAAATTGTAAATAAGTCTAACTGTCCCAATTTCTCCATCATAAGTCTAACGAAATATCTATACCATATTTTATATATATGCGCATTAGCTTATTAAATGGCATATCAAATTATTAAGTCTAACGAAAATTTGTCCTAATTTCTCTAGTATAAGTTTAACGAAAAAATTTAAGTCAAATGATTGTCCTAAGTTCTCCATTAATAAGTCTAATGAAAATTGTAAATAAAGAACTGGTTTTGTGCAGGCAAGCTTCTTAATATTAACTAGCATATTTTATATAAAAGTCTAATGAAAATAACTCCTGTAAAAATCCTGAAAAATCTGCGGAATTGTCCTAATTTTTTCTTAGTCAAGAATGGGTTCAGCATAAGCTAGCTCATCAAATAGCATAAAACTTTAAGAAAAAATATAAAAAAGCAAGTCTAATGAAAATTTAGCAAATGCCCATTGGTCATTGGATATTACACCTAAAATTTAAGTTAGCCGAAATAATCTTTTCATTTATTCTGGTTGGCAACTAATACAATAATCTCCTTCTTCCATTTTATCAGAATGAAGCATTTTCTGTAAAGAGAAATATTAAGATTTGTAAGCGTATTTCTATAGGTAACTATTATTTCCTCATAACTTCTTTCTCGTATCTCTGATCAAAGTCTATCATAGAATTGGATAGCAAAGGATTGGCCAACATAAGTTCTTTCTTATCAAAGTCTATCATAAAATTGGGTAACATAATAATTTCTAACATGTAGTGGACATTGTCCACAAGCAGAGGCTGTAAACTTTCTGCAATCAAAACAAGGTATACGTTTTTTAGCCTTTCAATAGAATCGACATTCTTCAGGCCTAGTACTAGCATTCCCACAAGCCATTCCAGTATTGCAGAGAAATGGGCAAGAATATGTACCAATCATCCTACTTTTTTATTACTAAATTTGAAAAGATTAATTAATAATTAGTTAATACTTCAGTTTTGCAATAGCTAGAACCGCTTGGAAAGCTTGTAAATACTTATCTTTAGTAGGGTTTCTATAATTGAAAAGTGATAGGTACATAGGAAATAAATAATTAAAGAAAAAATTATATAAGCAAGTAATAGTACGATGGTTAGAACTAACACCATAATTAGAAAAATAAGAAGTGATAAAAAAGATATAATCTGTAAATGTTGTGGTTATAAATGCTCAATGCTCCAAAAACT